CAGGAGACCTGGCCATGATATGATCACTTTTTAGAGTCCCCTAGGGAATGGTTTGGAACTGGGGAACTGCCGAAGTTGACTCACTCTAAGGTGACGGAAGATGGCCAAAGACAAGTTTTTTGTGCTTTTTTTTTTCACTTAGGTAAGACTTGAGGTGCTGACTGGTGTGGCTCAGTGGGTTGGGTACTGTCCCACCAGGCCAAAGTTCTCCAGTTCATTTCCTGTGTGGGCACCTGCCTGGATATCGGGCTTTGTCCACTGTTGAATGTTTTGCAAGAGGAAGCCATTAGTGTTTCTCTCGTCGTTTCTCCCTTTCTTTTCTCCGAAAAAAGGAAAATGAAACCAAGCCACCGAGCCACAGCAGCCAGGGCCGAACCTTTGCCACTCTCGAATAACCAGTGGGCAACATCGCTTAGGCCTTTTCCTCTCTTCCGTTCCTTTCCCTCCATCCGTCCGTCCATTGTCTTTCTTTTGCCAGGCTGCCGTCTTCTCCCCCGTTACCCTGTCTGCCTGCCATCCTCCCCCTGTAAGTGTATTATGCGCCCTAGTGCCTTCGTCTGAGTGCTTCTCACCCTGACCCTGGGCAGCGCGTCCCCAGGACTTAAGGGCCAGAGTGCGAAGAACTTGGCGCCCAAGTTTAGCGGTGCGGCAGAGGCCTTAGATGGCGAGTGGGCGTGGTCTTGGACTGACGTCACTGCCCTGGCGGGGGCGGGGGTGCGGTCACCAGGCGGCTGGGCGCGCTGCCAAGCCCTGGTATCCAGGCGGATTCCCGGGTCGCTGCGCGCGCGGGTGGTTGCGCGCACGCGGTCAACTGTTAGCGGGGAGGTTCTGCGAAGGCGGCTTGCGGCTTGCAGGGCGGTGAGTGATTTACTACAATACGAACGGTCCAGGGGTTTGCGGTACCCGTGCGCGCGTGAGTGGAGGGGGTGGGGTTGCTAGACTGAGACTTGGCCATTAAGTTAGGAGTTTTTTGAGTCACTCGGAGGCACTGCTTGTGAAATGGGGGACTGCCGTAGGTGACTCAGTCAGGTGAAGGACGAGGGGGAAAAGACAGGTTTTTTTTTTTTTTAAGGCTTATAGAAGGCATAAGGTGCGGACTGGTCCGCGTCAGTGTGTTGGGCGCCGTCCCGCCTAGGGAAAACTGCCCGGTTCGATTCCCGGTCTGGCCACATGTCTGGGTTGGGAGCTCGTTCCTCGGTCGGCGACATTTTGAGAGGCAGCCATCAGTGTTCCTCTCCCCCTTCGACGTTTGTCTCCCTCGTTTTCTCCCTCCCTTCTCTTCTCTCCGAAAAACGTAAAATGAAAGCAAAGAAATCTTGAATTATTGCCCTTTTCGTTCATCTGCTCATCCACCAAGCAGAGGGCTTGGGAGGGACGATGGAAGTCGGGTATCTGAGTTTGCCAACCAGGAACTGATGACGGGAACTACCACGTGGTAAGTATCTGCTGTGTGTCAGCCACTGTTCTAGACGCTTAATTTGCAGTATTGCATTGAACCGCAAGCCTAGAAGCACTTGTATTCCCCCTTTACGGACGAGGACATTGATCTGCTGAGAGTCTTCAGGAGCTAGCTGGCACCAGAAGGCACAGTATGTGGTGCCTGGAGAGTCAGGGAGCTCCTGGGGGGACTCCACTGGGCCTTCCCCGTGGAAATGAGGACCCTATTGTCGTGCGCAAAGGAAGGGGCGATAAGTGCAGGGCTTTCTCCGTTTTTCCCTTTTTCCTCACTGGGCTATGAGACCGAGGGGCTGAAAACTTTGGAGAGGGAAGGAAAATTATGTTTAGAAACCCCCATCTTTCCCATGATAAAGAGTGACTGCCTGCCTCTGAGGCTCTCAGGGTCAGGAGGGAAGTCTGTGGGTTCCCAGAACCGAGGTTACAATCTCTCTACTTCATCTTCTTAGTCATCTCCACCTATGGCTTGACCCAGGTGCCTCAGGCTTAAAAGACTGGATAAAGCAAGGTGAAGGGACGAGTGAGAAAATAGGTAAATAACATTAAATATATGAGACAGGTAGAGAGGGGGAGACGAGAGTGTGGTGGTGGCCAGAGGAGAGGGGGTGGGCATAGGTAGAATTGGGCAATGGGTACAGAAAGAGGGTGTTCCCGGGGGCATAGGAGCCGATGCAGCGTGCGGAGGGTGCTTCATTGGTATTCTTTTGAAAGATTTCATTTATGTATTCATATTTAGAGAGAGGGGAGGGGAGGGGAGGGGGAAAGAGAGGGAGACAATCCTGAAAATGTGGCTGCCTGTCACATGGCCTGTGCCTGGGACCTGGCCCCACAACCCAGGACCGTGTCTGAGGCTTGGAAGCTTACCACGGAGGTGCACAGGCCCCGTGACTGAGGTGCACAGGCCAGCACTGAATCCACCGAGGCAGACGGGCTAGGGCCCTTTATTGGATTTTATTCTTCAAACCCATGTGAGTTTGGGAAGCAGTGTCACAGCACTACATTGAATTAGAAAAGGGGTTTGTGAGGGCAGACGCGGGAAGGTTTGCGAATTGTTCAATTTAGGGCCATTCTCCAAACTTGGAGGCATCGTGCCTTAACACTCGTGCGAGTGGAGATTTCGGTACAGGCCGGTTCCCTGGTTGCAAGCATCGCCCACGGGTTTAGCGACAGACATGCTGACTTACGATTTCTTCCCCGTCCCTGAAGCCTTTAGTGTGGGAATAGGTGAGAGTCCTGCCCCTACTGTGAGCCTGTCCAAGAGTCGTCAGTTTCCTAGGGATTCGGCGAGGGCAGGGCAGCAGGAAGAGTCTTGGACTTGGTTTTCTTCTCTCTCCTTCACTTGCGATCTTTCCAAATTTTTCTTCGCTTTCATAGAAAAAAGGTTTCATTTGTTTTATTTTTAGAGAGGGGGAATGGAGTGAGAAAGAGAGGGAGAGAAACTTCAATGTGCAAGAGCACCCTGGGTCCCGTGGCGGGACCAAAGGGCAAAGCAGGCTTGTGCCCTGAGCGGATTGGAACCGGCAACCTTTTTTACTTTCTCGGGAGGAAACCAAGCCACTGAGCCACAGCAGCCAGGGCCGACCCTTTGCCACTCTCAAATAAGCAGTGGGCCACTTGGCTCATTTTCTTTTCCTCCCTTCATTTTCTTTTACTCTATCTCTCTGTCCTTTTTTTTATCTTTTCAAAGCCTGAGGTCTTTTCTCCTGTTATCCTAGCCCCCTGCAATCTTCCCCTGTAATTGTATGAAGGGCCATAGTTCCTTACACTGAGTGCTTCTGACCCTGACCCTCTGCAAGGCAGTCCCAGGATTTAAGGGCTGGATTGGGCCAGACCTCACTTTAAGGTTTAGCCAATGCAGTAGTGACTGAAGGGCAAGTGGGTGTGGCATTTGATGGACATCCCTGAACCTGGGAGGAACCTCCCAAGACTGAGAAGGGCACAGTGACCCCTGGTATTAAGAAGGATTCCCGGGTCATGTGAGCTGTGGACAGTTGGAGAGGATTCCGTGAGGGCAGCCTGTGCAGAGGTGAGTGATTTCGTAAAATAAGAAGGGTAGAGGAGGGTCCGGCACCGATGAGCGTGAGTAGGGAGGCTTATAACTAGCATGAGACCTGGCCATTACATGATCACTTTTTAGAGTCCCCTAGGCAATGGTTTGGAACTGGGGAACTGCCGAAGTTGACTCACTCTAAGGTGACGGAAGATGGCCAAAGACAAGTTTTTTGTGCTTTTTTTTTTCACTTAGGTAAGACTTGAGGTGCTGACTGGTGTGGCTCAGTGGGTTGGGTCCTGTCCCACCAGGCCAAAGTTCTCCAGTTCATTTCCTGTGTGGGCACATGCCTGGATATCGGGCTTTGTCCACTGTTGAATGTTTTGCAAGAGGAAGCCATTAGTGTTTCTCTCGTCGTTTCTCCCTTTCTTTTCTCCGAGAAAAGTAAAATGAAACCAAGCCACCGAGCCACAGCAGCCAGGGCCGAACCTTTGCCACTCTCGAATAACCAGTGGGCAACATCGCTTAGGCCTTTTCCTCTCTTCCGTTCCTTTCCCTCCATCCGTCCGTCCATTCTCTTTCTTTTGCCAGGCTGCCATCTTCTCTCCCGTTACCCTGTCTGCCTGCCATCCTCCCCCTGTAAGAGTATTATGCGCCCTAGTGCCTTCGTCTGAGTGCTTCTCACCCTGACCCTGGGCAGCGCGTCCCCAGGACTTAAGGGCCAGAGTGCGAAGAACTTGGCGCCCAAGTTTAGCGGTGCGGCAGAGGCCTTAGATGGCGAGTGGGCGTGGTCTTGGACTGACGTCACTGCCCTGGCGGGGGCGGGGGTGCGGTCACCAGGCGGCTGGGCGCGCTGCCAAGCCCTGGTATCCAGGCGGATTCCCGGGTCGCTGCGCGCGCGGGTGGTTGCGCGCACGCGGTCAACTGTTAGCGGGGAGGTTCTGCGACGGAGGCTTGAGGCTTGTGGCTTGCGGGGCGGTGAGTGATTTACTACAATACGAAGGGTCCAGGGGTTTGCGGTACCCGTGCGCGCGTGAGTGGAGGGGGTGGGGTTGCTAGACTGAGACTTGGCCATTAAGTTAGGAGTTTTTTGAGTCACTCGGAGGCACTGCTTGTGAAATGGGGGACTGCGGTAGGTGACTCAGTCAGGTGAAGGACGAGGGGAAAAGACAGGTTTCTTTTTTTTTTAAGGCTCATATAAGGCATAAAGTGCGGACTGGTCCGCGTCAGGGTGTTGGGCGCCGTCCCGCCAAGAGAAAACTGCCCGGTTCGATTCCCGGTCTGGCCACATGTCTGGGTTGGGAGCTCGTTCCTCGGTCGGCGACATTTTGAGAGGCAGCCATCAGTGTTCCTCTCCCCCTTCGACGTTTGTCTCCTCCTAATTTTCGTTTTCTCCCTCCCTTCTCTTCTCTCCAAAAAAAGTAAAATGTAAGCAAAGAAATCTTGAATTATTGCCCTTTTCGTTCATCGCTCATCCACCAAGCAGAGGGCTTGGGAGGGACGCATGGAATTCGGGTATCTGAGTTTGCCTACCAGGAAATGATGACGGGAACTAATGCGTGGTAAGTATCTGCTGTGTGTCAGCCACTGTTCTAGACGCTTAATTTGCAGTATTGCATTGAACCGCAAGCCTAGAAGCACTTTTTATTCTCCCTTTAACGGACGAGGACATTGATCTGCTGAGACTCTTCAGGGAGCTAGCTGGCACCAGAAGGCACAGTATGTGGTGCCTGCTCCCCCTTCGACGTTTGTCTCCTCCTAATTTTCGTTTTCCGGTGTTTAATAATAGATAAATTAAAGATTTGAAAACGCGTAGAAAATGAAACATTCCAATAGTTGAGAAGTCAGAAGAAGATATTTTTCCTTTTCTCTACGAATAACTAAAGATACAGAAGTCGGTTCATTAATATCTATGAATAATAGAAATGTCGTTCTTATGGGACGCGCTCCAGTGTGATTTGTTTAGGGGTTTTTGTGGTAGGAAAGGACGAAGCTGAATCAGCGACCCGGTTTTCAGGGAAATAAATTTAATATTTTAATCTAAGTGCGGCGCATTTGGGGACCATTGAAATCTTGAGGGATAGTTTTGTTAATTTTTATGTTAAGGACCTAAATTCTGTGGGTGCCATACAGTTTGTTCATTTTCAGGAGCAGTTTGTGACCTACAGTTGGCGGGAAGCAGAATGGGTGCTAAGTCTGTCTGGTAGGGCGGGTAATTTTGGCGCGCTGAGAGGAGTAACGTGTGTCATTGGATGCTTTAATCATTAGGCCTGGGATTTTCAACAAGTCAGAATGTGGCAATGGGCAACAGTCATACCAATCAGAGAGTGTGTTTCACTGCGCCGTGGCGTGCTTCGCTGGGCAGATTATGCTAATTGATGAGAATTTTCTTTAAGCAGGGCTGTGGTTGCTAGCCGCCTGTTTCCATCTCCCATTAAGTACTTTTTCTGAGATTTTAAATTTTCTCAGCTTTTCCTCCTATGAATAGCAAGTGACTGAAAAAGTTTTACTAAAAAGCAATTTATTGTGAAATAGTAGTATAAAGGATCTAATATTAAATTATTTTCTTACTTCATAGGTGTGATCCAGAGATTGAAAAATGGAGGAAGTGGATTTTCGTTTCTTGGACTTTCAAGGTACATAGCTTTACATGGTAGTAAAGAAAATGTGAAGTATTTCCTGCATTATCGAAGATCTTGTAAATGTAATTGTTTCCTGAATTTCATCTCTTTGCAGTAGCCAGAGCTCCACCTTTTTTATTAATGTACCATACAAACAATATGGATGTTTAAGACACTGGAATGTTTTTATAAACTAGTATAAGGAAACAATTTTCTATTTTTAGCTTATTTTCTCAAGGTTTTTGTGGCATGCAAAATAACATTGGTTTAATCTGAAATAAAAATTGGTGCACTAAAAATACATTAAAAATATACTGCTAGATCCTGGGCCTTTCTATAATTATTAGTGAAAAATAAATTATATCCTGTGTGTTTTAGGTTTAAGTCCATTTTTGTATCTTTATTCTTTTGAAAATTGGTAATCTTTGTTGCATATTTATGGGAATTCTTAGGAAACAAAAGGAATTTGAGTAGTCATACCAGATTCCTCAGCTATGTCAAATATGGGAGAATTTATGATACTTATTAAATGGAACTATGTCGTATCTAGGGTGGCTACAGATCTATGATTTTCAAAAGTTTAGGTCAGTGGTTTTTTCTTAAAGACTTTATTGATTTTAATTCTTAGAAAGAGACAGGGAGAAAAATGTGGAGGTGTGAGAGATACACTGATAGGTTGCCTCTCGCATGCACTCCAACTGGACCAGCTCAGCAACCCAGGCATGTGTTCTGACCAGGAATGAACCTGAGACCTTTTGCTCTGTTGGACAATGCTCTACCGATTGAGCCATGACCTTCAAAACAGTTCTGTTATTTAAAACAACAAAAACAATGCCCTGTACCACCTGCTTTAAATTTTAATTTAGGATATAATATCTTAAAGATTTAAACATAAAATAGGGATTATGAGTTTGATATTTACAGAAATACAAGGATTGAGACCTTGTATTTATGTAAATATTTGAAACACAAACAAGTATATAGAAAAATATAATTATCACCAGTATACCTATCACTAAGTTTCGTTGAATCTTGAAAGTTTGCCATGTATTTCAGATATTTTATGTTTGAAAGAACTGAAAGATTACATATATTAGTTTTTCATCTTTTAAAGTTTTACATAAATTGTATCATTTAATGTTATACTTTTCCCCCTGCGATTTGTCTTTTTTTACTCAACATTATTTTTTGGATAATACCCATATGGATATTTTAGCTTTAATTCATTTCTTTCCACTGCTGATTAGTACCATTACATTGAATATAATTGTACCACAAATCATTTATTCAACTTCTCTCATTGGATGTATGAGCATTTTAAGTAGTTGCTGTTACAGATAGCAATGAACATTGTGCTTCAGAGAATTTAGTGGGAGCTTTCAAATAGTTTTAACCACCACTTATGACAGGGAAATACAGTACATCAAAAGTTTAATGAAACAGTTTTACCTGTATTATATGCAGTATACCACCATATTTTCTATTTATGCTTTTTTTAGTTAAAATATTCTGGTTATAATGCACTAGGCTGATTTATTTCCTGAGCACTGGGGGCTGAGGGTCTGGGTCAGTGATGTCCAATTAAAACAATGTGCAAACACAATTTTATATTTCGCAGTAATCACATTAAAAAGGTTCATCGGCTGAAATTAATATAGTAATCTTAGGAATACTAAATACAATGTAATAGGAATATAATATTTAGTAATAGAATAACATATTACAGAATATAATTTACCTAATATATGATATATAATAATTACTTAATATAATGTAATAATATAATAGTTCAACGGTAATATAATATAGTAGTAATATAATATTTAGTAATATAATAATTTTTAGTAATGCAAATTATATGGATTAGAATATCCCAAATACTATCATTTCAGCATGTAATTAAAGTTTTTAATGCGAGAGTTTACATTTTTTGATACAAAGCTTGAAGTCTGGCTTGTGTTTTATACTTCAGGCACATCTCGTTTGGGACTTGCCACAATTCAAGTGCTCAGTGGTCACATGTATGTGGCTAGTGGCTTCCCTATAGTGGCAGTGATGCTGTAGGGCATACATTTAGGTTGAACTACTGAATGTGGAACTGCTGGGTCAAAAGCTGTCAGCATCTTTAACTTTATCAATATTGCCAAATTGCTGTCCAAAGTAGTTTTAACAACTTATATTCTCCGTTTTTCTTTTTCCCGTAATCTTGCTAATATCTGGTATTGTCACACTTTAAAAGTTTTGCGATATGAAAGGTGTCATGGTTTTTAATTAACATTTTATTTTGGAATGATTTTAGATTTACAGAAAAGTTTCAAAGATAGTACAGAATTCACATATACCCTCCAGCCAGTTTTATTTTCCCTGATGTTATTATCTTACATTGGTGTTGTTTTAATTTCTATTTCCCTGGTAACTATTGAAGTTGGGTAAATTTTCTTTTTACATTATTTTAATCCTCACCGAAGGACATTTTTTTCATTGCTTTTAGAGAGAAATGGAGAGAAACATTGATTTTAGAGAAAAACATTGATGGGTTGTCTTCATCCTGTATGTGCCAGACAGGATCCTATGGACCCAGACTGGGAATCAAGCCCACAACCTTTTGGTTACAGGACAGCACCCCTGTAACCACTGAGCCTCACTGGCCAGGATGAAGTTGGTTGTATTTTCATAGGTTTGTTGGCAATTTGAGTTTTCTTTTTTGTATACATGACCTTCAGTCAAGTTTTTAAAAAAATGGACCACAAAAGGCCCGTGTGATGGCCCTATAGCTCTTTTTTTTTCTTCATAGGGAGAATCGACATAATGTCAACCTTCTTGTACCAACAATTCCAATCAGTTTCATGGGCAAGAAGAAGTTGAAATTTGTTGAAGTTATACCCATTGGGGCTAAATAAGTGTAGCTCTTTTTCTGCATGCCAGCTCAACTATTTAAAGATACTTATGTCCCCTGGAAAGTTTCTTCTTCAAATGAACCATTCTCAGTTTGCTTACTCATTCCCCATATTACATGGTTTCTAGTCCCCTCATCATTTTGTGTGCTGTTCTCCAAACATGCTCTTTTCTTCCATGTTATTTCTTAAAGTGTGTTACCCAGAACAAAACACAGTTTTCTAGGTTTGATATGATCATCACAAAATAATCTTTCTCTTTAGATTTGGGAGTGATCATCATTCTCTTTAGCTAAGATTGAAAATTTTGGAAGAGGGCAGTCATACCACACTGATGACTTATTTTGACCATTTTTCTTCTAAAATGCTCTTGTTTTTACAAAATACATTCTGCTGTTAAGCTACATCTTGCCTGGCATATATTGGTGCAGTTAGTTTTGAAGACTTAAATGCCGGACTAAGATTTTTTGTTACATTAATCCCATTGCTGCAACTAGAGATTTAACTTTTGTTCCTGGTTATATCATCTTTGTTCTTTTTCAGCTTCTTCATCCAAGTCATTGATAAGACAGTTAAATAGGACAGGGCCAAGGACAGAATGTTATGCCATTAAAAACCTCACTTCAGATTGGCATCAATCTATTAAGCAGCATGTTTGGGTATGCTTGTTTAACCTATTAAAAAAAGATTTTATTCATTTATTTTTAGAGAGGGGAAGGGAGGGAGAAAGAGAGGGAGAGAAACACCATGTGGTTGCCTCTCGTGCACCCCCAACTGGGGACCTGGCCCACAACTCAGGTATGTGCCCTGACCAGGAATCAAACTGGCAACCCTTTGGTTTGCAGGCCAGCACTCAACCCACTGAGCCACACCTCTTTATCTCTTTGAAAGGCTCTTGGGATTCTATGTATATGCACTTCTGATACCAACTCTTCTGTTTACCCCACCCCCAGCTTTTTTGAGATATAATTGACATATAGCATTCTGTAAGTTTAAGGTATATGGTGTAGTGATTTTATATATGTATAATAAAGTGATTACTACAAGAATGTTAATGAACACATCCATTACCTCATGTAGTTATAGGATTTTTGCCATGGGGGTGAGGAAAATGGGTGAAGGTGGGCTAAGGGGACAAATCACTTGTTTACCTTTTTTAAAAGAAGATTTTATTTTAGTTAAAAGATTTTTAAAATTTATCTTTAGAGGAGAAGGGAAGGAGAGAGGGAGAGATATATCAATGTATGGTTGCCTCTCGTGCATCCTCTGCTGGGAACTGGCCTGCCACCCAGGCATGTGCCTCGACTGGGAATCGAACTGAGATCCTTTGGTTTGCAGGCCCATGATAAATCCACTGAGCTACACCAGCCAGGGCTAAAAGATTTTATTTACTTATATTTTTTAGAGAGAGGGGAAGGGAGAGAGGGAGAGAGGGAGAGAAACATTGATCAGCTGTCTCTGGTATGTGCCCTGACTAGTCCAGGGATTGAAGTGGCAACCTTTTGCTATGTGGGACAACGCCCAATCGAGTCACACTGGTCAGGGCTCTGCTGTTTACTTTTGAGGCTGCCTTCTTGATGTTGAAGAAAGATTGATACCACACTGTGCTATCCTGCTCCTGACCTGCAACCTCTAGGATTTCAGGTCTATGGTACTTTTTCTTTCCCTCTTTCTTTTCTTTCTTAGAAATCAGCTTTAGTCCTGGCTGGTATAGCTCAGTGGATTGAGCACGGGCCTGCAAACCAAGGGATTGCGGTTTGATTCCCAGCCAGGGCACATGCCTGGGTTGTGGGCCAGTTCCCAGCAGGGAATGCAGGAGAGGCAACCATACATTGATGTTTCTCACCCTCTCTCCTTTCCTTCCCTTCCCTCTCTAAAGATGAATAAATAAAACCTTAAAAAAAGAAACCAACTTTATTGAGGTATAATTTACACATATAATAAAATACACACATTTTAAGTGTGCAGGTTGATACCTTGTTTTGAGGGGGGAACAAATGTAACCTGTATGACCACAATTCTGATAAAAAAATAGAACATTCTTATCTCAGAAAATTCCATCATGCCCCTTTGTGGTCAATCTATACTTCACATTTCACCCCAGGCATTCACTGTTCTTATTTCTATCACTGCAGATGAGTTTATATGTGAAACAGTACTGTATATACTTTTTTTGTAGTGTCTTTCACTAAGCATAATTATTTTGAGAGTCATCCATATGATTGCATAAGAGTAGTTACTTCCTTTACTTTGTTTAGTACTGTTCCACTGAATGAATATATCACAATTTCTCCATTTATCAGTTGATGGACATTTTTGGCTATCATTAATAAAGTTGCTATGAATATTCATATATATATATATATATATATATATATATTTTAAATGACTTAGGTTTTCATTTTCCTTGGGGCAAATACCTAGAAGTGAATTTGCTGAGATGTAAAGTGCCTTTGTAACCAGGTTTCAATAGACTTGTCTAGGGTATTTCTTTCCTGGAGGACAGGTTTTGAAAGGCCCAGATTCTTAACTTAAGAAACAATAACAACTGTGTTGGAAGGTTTCCTAAAGGTGTCTCTCCTGATTCAGAAAAAAGGTTTTCATCTCGGCAAGCACCAGGAACCGTCCATAATAGAAGGTTACTTAACGAGGGAATAGCAAACAGTTGAGTGGGGTTAACAGAATATTCATTCATACTGCCCTGCCTGGGTAGCTTAGTTGGTTAGAGTGTCTCTAGTATGCGAAGGTTGCAGGTTTGATTCCTGGTCAGGGCACGTATAGGAATCAATGAATAAATGCGTAAATGAGTAGAAAACAAATCTATGTTTCTCTATTTCTCCATTCTCTTTCTCCAAAAGCAGTACATTTTTTTTAAATTAAAAAAAATTCACACCAAGATAATTTGGCCCAGTTTTCCTTCTCAGCGTGAGGGTTATTTCTGCTTAAAGTATGGCAACAGTTTATGAGACTTTGGAATCCCCTTTCCTATGGTTAATTTGGAGATAATTTTCCTTTTTCTAGGTTTCTAATATCTTTGTATTTGCTGTTATATAAATGCTCTTATGGTCTATCAAAATATTCAAGTTCATACTTTAAAAAAAGATTTTATTTATTTTTAGAGAGACGGGAAGGGGGGAGAAAGAAAGGGAGAGAAATATCAGTATGTGGTTGCCTTTCACACGGGCCCCCACTGGGGACCTGGCCCACCACCCAGGCATGTGCCCTGACTGGGAATTGAATCAGCAACCCTTTGCTTTGCAGCCATGCTCAATCCACTGAGCCACACCAGCCAGGTACTTCTTTTTTCTTTTCAATCTATGATAACTGTCAGGGAGGTAGATATTAACTAATTGGTGTCATTGAATATTCAGCATTCAGTCACAATATATACTCTAGACAAGAGGTCCCTAAACTTGTTGGCACCAGAGACTGGTTTCATGGAAGACAATTTTCCCACAGATCCAGGGAGTGTATGGCTTTATAGCCTGCCACCAGATACAGCCTAATTGTCACTTGCCACTCACTATGAGTCTGCAAGCAGTCAGGTCTCTGTGCAGTCAAACCTCTCTGCTAATGGTCTCTGTGCAGTCAGACCTCTCTGCTAATGATAATCTGTATTTGCAGTCACATTTCCCAGCACTAGCATCACCGCCTCAGCTCCACTTCAGATCATCAGGCTTTAGGGTCTCATAAGGAGCTGCAGCCTAGATCCTTCGCATGTGCAGTTCACAGTAGGGTTCGTGCTTCTATGAGAATCTAATGCCTCTGCTAGTGTGACAGGAGGTGGAGCTCAGGCAATACTACAGGCACGGGGAGTGACTGTAAATATAGATTAAGCTTCACTTGCTCACCCACCACTCACTTCCTGCTGTGCAGCCGGTTTCCTAATGGGTTGGGGACCCCTGCTCTAGACCAGCCCTGTCCCGTAAAAATAAGATGTGAGCTACGAATGTATTTTGTCAAAGCATTCTTTTAAAAAATAATGTCTTCTTTTAGAGAGAGGTGGGAAGGGAGGGAGAAAGAGAGGAAGAGAAATGTCGATGTGAAAGATAACACTGATTGGTTGCCTCTCCCAAGCCATCAGCTGGGGACCTGGCTGGCAACCCAGGGCTGTGCCCTGACTGAAAATCAAACCGGCAATATTTAACTTTGCAGGCTAGTGCTCAATCCACTGAGCCACACTAGCCAGGGCTAAAGTGTTCGTAAAACAAATAGAATGCTTCACGAATTTGTATGTCATCCTTGCGCAGGGCCCATGCTAATTTCTGTATTGTCCCAATTTTAGTATATGTGGCTGCCTAAGTGAGCACCAGAACTATAATTTATAAGTAATTTCTAATAGCTACATTTTAAAACTAAAGACAAATAGGTGCAATTATTTTTAATAATAATTTAATGCTATATTTTTAGCCCCACATATCGAAAATACTATTTCAACATATAATCATTATACAAAATTACTGACATTTTGAGTCATAATGCAAACTATTATGGTTATTTTTACATGCTTTTTTTCATACTAAATCTTTGAAATCTGGTATTTTACAATGATAGCACATCTCAATTGGGTCTAATCATACTTCAGGCGCTAAATAGCTATACATGGCTGGCATGTTAAACTGCAAATGTAGGCTAAAACCTTTAGTAGGAAAATTCACTCAAGATAATAGATTTTCAGCCCTGGCAGGTGTGGCTCAGTTGGTTGGAATGTGGTCCCATAACCACCCATAATCAAAACGTTGCATATTCATTTCCTGGTCAGGGCACATACCTGAGCTGTGAGTTTATTTTCCTGTGCTGGTGCATGTGATTCCCAGGTCTGAGGGTGGGATCACCAGTCCTCTTACATAGTGGGTAGAGGAGGCAACCAATCGATGCTTCTCTCTCAGATCTGTCCTTCTCATTTTCCCTTCCTCTCTTCTTTCCTCTCTCTAAAAAAGCAATGAAGGATCCTTGGGTGAGGATTAAAAAAAAAAGAAATAAATATAATAGACTTTCATTGAATCTCAAAGAACTTTATTTATTTGGAAGCCTCCCTGAACTATTTTTTCCCATGTCTTTAAATGCCACGATGGGATCCTCAGAATAGGAATAGCAGAGTTATTAGGAAATGTCTCAAGAGGGAGCCGCATAGTTCAGAGTCATAGCATAGTTTCTGTATGGCCTGTGCAGAAATCTCATTGAGATACTTGGTGGGGTCACCCGGTATACACATATTAGGTAGCTATAATATGGTTTATGAAATAAAGAGGTGGAATAACTAACTGAATTTAACCATCATAGTATATCATACAATATATTTCAAGCTCTGACCTCTATGTACCTTTCTAATGGTGTTTTCCTGTAACCTTCCTTTACTCTTTTCTTCAGCCATACATAAATAATTGTTTATGGTTATTTGAACCTGCTATGCTTTTCCACACCTCTCTGCTTTTTCCTTCTGGTATGCTGCTCGGCAAATCTCTAACTTATAAGATCCACCTCAGATAGGGCCCCAGTGAAGCCTTTATCCCTTTATCCCAAGTCTCAGATGGGAAGAGTTACTCAATTCTTCCTTTATATTTCTGTAGCATCTTGTATTCATAACACTTACTACATTATATTTCAAGTTTTTAAAATTTAATTTCCTGAACAGTGTGGTCCACTAGATGGCATAGACTGCCTCACTTATCTTAGCATTCCTAGTAAGATGCCCTGTATCTGCCTGATTGCAGACATTAAATAAATGTGTGTTGAGGCCCTGGCTGGTGTGGCTCAGTGGATTGAGTGTGGACCTGCGAACTGAAAGGTCACCATTTCCATTCCCAGTTAGGGCACATGCCTGGGTTGCAGGCCAGGTTCCCAGTAGGGGGTGCTCGAGAGGCAACCACACATTGATGTTTCTCCCCTCCTTCTCCCTCCTTTCCTCTCTCTCTAAAAATAAATAAGTAATATCTTAAAAACTGTTTTTTGAATTACCTTTTATAAGGAGAAATGTAGACACTAGCCAGAGCAAAAAGAATGTATTTGTCTTGGATTCTGTTCATGCTGTGCTACCAATAGCTTTGATCTTGGGCAAGATCATTATCAATGCTTTATTCTATTTTTTATTATTTTCTAAAATCTTTTAAATTATTTTTACTTTTCAGTTATAGTTGACATACAATATTACATTAGATTCATGTGTACACCCAATGATTAGGCATTAGATAACTTAAGTGATCATCCCAATAAATCTCACACCCATCTGACCCATACATATTTATTAGAATATTACTGATTATATTTCCTACACTATACATCTCCATGCCTATTCTATTACTACCGATTTGTACCTATTAATCTTTTCAATTTTTTCACCCAACTTCCCCACCCCCTCTCATCTGGCAACCATTGAAATATTCTATGTATTTTTTTTAGAATTTTAAAAAATGATTTTATTCATTTATTTTTAAAGCGAGGAGAAGGGAAGGAGAAAGAGAAAGAGAGAAACATCAATGTGTGGTTGCATCTCACATGCCCAAAATGGGGGACCTGGCCTGAAACCCAGGCATGTGCCCTGACTGGGAGTGGAACTGGTGACCCTTTGGTTCACAGACCCACACTCAATCCACTGAGCTACACCAACCAGGGCTATTCTCTGTATGTATGAGTCTGTTTCTGTTCATCTTGTTCATTTATTTTGTTTTTAGCTTCAACTTTTGCATGTCACTTGTTCTAGGTTCTTCCCGATTGTATAGTATAAGTTTCAAATGAGAAAGCATGAATTCAAGTCCTAGTTGCTACTTTCTTTGTGTCAGCTTTGAGAAGTCACTACACTTTGTTAAATATCAGTTTCCACATCTTATAAAAATAAAAATATCTGCCTTACAGAGTAGATTGATGATTAAATGAAGATGCATATGAAAAGCTTTGAGAGCATAAACCACTATGCAAATGTTCATTTTATTGTCATTTTTTTGTTCTTTTCTCAGTGACAAAGTTGCAGATAATTGTTGTGACTAGAACTCAAATCTTGAGTTGACCCTGGTAGGTCTTTTGGCCTTTGAAATGACTGGTTGAGCTGATGGAAGTCACAGGAGAGACTTGGCAGGACTGTTGATAGATTTTTTTTTTTGCCATGTTGTAGCAGAAGCTTACTTCCTCAAGGACAGGGAAAATGTTTATTTTTTATTAATACTGTATCTACAATGCTGTCTGCCTAATCACAATTAATTGGTATTGATTAACACAGTTGTCTTAATGGTGTGACCACCCCCACCCCCTGTTTTAACTAGGATGGATCTCATTTAAATTATATCAACTGAAATCATGTCGTAAATCATAGTTCACTTCAGTAGCCAGGAAGATGATTTGATTATTTTCTTTCAGAATGTACAGCCTTGCTTGATATAACCTTAATATAGCATGTTATCTTCAAATCTCAAGAATAGACTGTATTTATAGAAACTCCTTTCTTAGCTTCTGCCAGAAACAAGTCTTTTGCATAGTGTAACTCAACCATTTAGCTATGTGATCTCTACTAGTTACCCAGCTTTGCTGACTGCATTTTATTAAAGATCTGCAGTGCTGTCATTGCCTCAGCTGGTGTCAATCAAATTGCTCAAGTAAATGACATTGAAAATATGTTTTGAAAGTCCTGGAATTATTTTGACAAAATGAATTATATTAAACGCTAAGAGAACACGCACAAATCAAAATTAATGTCTTCACAGTCTCATACCATGTGACCACAAGTTATAATTGGTATTCTACTAAACTATTTTTGGAATTTTTTTAAGCAACTCAAATTAAACATTTATATATATTTTTTCTTTTCAAAATCATTTTAAGACATCTGTTTTTACAGAATGGTTGGGTTTCAAAAAAACATTTCAAAGTTTCCCTAATTTTTAAAAATTGAGGTGTAATTGACATGCAACATTACACCACTTTCAGGTGCACAACATAATGATTTGATGTTTGTATATATTATGAAATGATCACCATTCCAAGTCTAGTTAACATCCATCACCATACATAATTAACAAAGGTTTTTTTTCTTGCGATGAGAACTTTTAAGATTTACTCTCTTAGCAACTTTCAAATATGCAGTACAGTATTAATTATAGTTGCCATTTTGTACATTATATCCAGTGAATTATTTATTTTATTCCTGGAAGTTTGTACCTTTGATTCCCTTCACCCATTTTGTCTATCACCTAACCCTGTCCCCTGGCTACAATCAATCTGTTCTGTCTCTATGGGCTTGGTGTTTGTTTACTTGTTTTAAGATTCCACATATAATTGAGATCATATGGTATTTGTCTTTCTCTGACTCATTTGACTAGCATAACCCTTAAGGTCCATCATACTGTTACAAATGACAAGATTTCATTCTTTTTTAATGGCTGAGTAATATCCTATTGTATATATTCACCACATTTCATTTGTAATTAAATTTATTGGGGTGACATTGGTTAGTACATGATGTAAGTTTCAAGCGTACAATCTTGTAATACTTAACATGTGCATATAACATTGTGTGCTCACCACTCAAAAAGTGTAGCCTTCTTCTGTTGCCATATATTTGGCCCCCTTTATGCTCTTCATCCTCTCCCCATTCCCCTACCCCTTTGATAACTGCCATACTTTTGTCCATATCTATGAGTTTATTTGTTTTGTTTATTTGTTGCTTTTACTTTTATATTCTACATGTGAGTGAAATCATATGGTTCTTGTCTTTTTCCATTTGACTTATTTTGGTTAGTATGATAGTCTCAAGAGGCATACATGTTGTCACGAATGAAACTATTTCATATTTTCTTATGTCTGAGTAGCATTCCATTATATATAGAAAGAGTATACCACATCTTCTTTATCCAGTCGAAGGGCACTTAGGTTGATTCCATGTCTTGGCTACCATGAATAATGCTGCAATGAACATAGGGGAGCATCTATCTTTATTAATAAATGTTTTAAAAAATTTTAGGTAGATACTCAGAGGAAGAGTTGCTGGATCATATGTAGCTCTATTCTTAATTTTTTGAGGAAGCTCCATACTGTTTTCCATAGTGACTGTGCTTATCAACAGTGATGTTGATCAAAAAGATGAGAAATAACAGTGTGTTATTTCTCATCTTTTTAATAATAGTCATTCTAACCAGTGTGAGGTGAGATCTTGTTTTGATTTGCATTTCTCTGAAGATCAGTAATGTTGAGCATCATTTCATGTACCTGTTGGCCCTGTATTTCTTTTTTGGAAAAATGTGTAGAGATATCCTCTGCTCATTTTTTAAATTGGATTTAAAAAAATTTTGCTATTGAGCCCTGGCTGGTGTAGCTCAGTGGATTGAGTGTGGGCCTGTGAAGCAAAGGGTTGCCGGTTCAATTCCCAGTCAGGGCACATGCCTGGGTTGCAGGCCAGATCCCCAGTGGGGGATACATGAGAGGCAACCACACATTAATGTTTCTCTCCCACTCTTTCTCCTTCCCATCCCCTCTCTCTAAAAATAAATAAATAAGATATTTTGAAAATGTTTGCTATTGAGGTGTATAAGTTCTTTGTATATTTTGGATATTATCCCATTACCAGGCAGATGATTCACAAATATTTTTCCCATTCTAAACTTTGTTAATTCTGTTACCAATACAGGGTGGGGCAAAAGTAAGTTTACAGTTGTGAGTACGTGAAACACAATTTATTCCTGTATTATTTATTAACTATTGTATTATTTCTATATGAACAACTGTAAACCTACTTTTTGTCTCACCCTGTATTTTGAGCAAGGGTTGTAATACATATGCCTTTCAGCCTACTGCTTACCTAATCTTAGAAGAATCAAGATACAGTATGCCTTTTCACAAAGTTATGGGAGTAAGGAGGCTAGAGATTTTTCTTTTTGTATATATCTTATCACTTGAGGTGTATAAATTGTGGTATGTTTTCCCTAATATTGCTTCTCATGGGTAATAAAGATTCCATGAGCTATAAAACATTTTTTAGTATATTTGAACATAATTTGTTTTGTGAAATCTTTATGTGATTCTATTTTTTGATGTTTAACTCAAATTTTTTCACTTAGCAGATTTATTGTTAATTCTAGCAGGTTAAATAGCAGCTTAAAGTATCTTCCAGAAGTTGCTCTTATAGTATTTTTATGACTTTATGAATATTAACATCTTGCTAGTTGATGCTCAGATATGTTTCAAAAATTACAGACATGTAGGTTATGAACACTTCTGTTATATGAGTTTGGAAAATCCTCAATTTTGATAATATGAAAGGTGTCAACTCTATATCATGCTTGCATTTAAGGAATTCCATGTCTAAGTAAGATTCAGCACTATAGAATGTCAAGTTCAGACTGTTTAGAAAATGGTGATGTCATTTGCACAGATTCAGTAACTGGCTAATGTCTGTAATTGGACATGTCATTTTTTTTCCCCACAGTGTTAGGTTAAGACTTCAGAGACAGGATAAATTAGCTATGTCCACCTAATGCTCGCAAATATTAAAAAGTATTTCAGTTTTACAGGGCACGTATCTAACTCTCCCTTCAGAATCTCTACATTTTCTAGTTTTGTAGACATTATTTATTTCTATTTTATAGTTTTAAGATGACCTATAATAGCGTTACTATTTGTGAAATTAATGCATTTTTACTTCTTGAGAATGAAAGTAATGAGTGTTATGAACAAATGACTCCCAGAGAATATAAATTTTATTTGAAAATTATACTCTACCTTTATAGCTAAAAGAAACTTTTTCTTTAGTTTGGTTTTACGCTAAGGATCATTCACAGTTTATTCATGTTATATTCATTTGACAAACTATCTAAGGACAGATTTTAAAGTGATTTGCTATTTTTAGCCAATGGTGATAGCTGAAAGCACTTTTATCATTCATTGTTATTTCAGAAACCATCCAAACCCTGATCAGAAGCGATAATTCATCTGGCATACCTGAAGCAATTGATAAAATCTTCATGGACATAGGAAATATCAACAGAAACTCAATGGCTAACCTACCGGATGCTCAGGTTGGTATAGAAATAATTTTGTTTGAGCCCTGGCTGGTGTAGCGCAGTGGATTGAGTGCCAGCATCCCAGTCAGGGCACATGGCTGGGTTGGGGGTCAGGTCTTCAGTTAAGGGTGTGTGATAGGCAACCAGTTGATGTATCTCTCACACACTGGTTATTTCTCTCCCTTTTTCTCCCTCCTCTTCTCTGTAAAAGTAAGTAAATAAAAATCCTTAAAATTTTTGAAAAAATATTTTTGTTTGATAGCTTTTGATTATCTTTAAATTAATGTATAAGAAAAAATGATTCTTGCTAAATACAGAGAAATCAAGAGAAAATAGTTTTAGAAACCAATGGAAAAATATGTGCTTAAGTTTAATATTTAATGTGTAACCTCTCCAGGCTTCAGTTTTATCATCTATTAAAGGAGAATAACGAAACCCACCTCCCAGTGTTGTAAATAGTAAACAAAATAATGTATTTTAGGTCCTGGCTACATAGCACTTAGTCACTAAATAATAGTTCTCTTTTCCTTACCTTTGTAGTACAGTAATAAACTACCTGGTAGTGGGGAACTCAGCTGAATATAAGCCTTCAGGGGTAATTTGTTTGGGATATTTTTTATGGTGTTTAAATGAGGGTCTGTCATTTAATTTGGAAATTGTCTTGAGGTTGTGGGACACTTTTGGGAATGTTTACTTTGGGCTAGTTCTTCCACTTTGGTGATTGCGCATATGGAAAGGGGAGAGTAAAGTTTATTCTAAATATCTCTTTCTCTTTTTACATATAATAGATTTATTTAGATATAAATCACAACCATATAATTGACCCATTTCAAGTGTACAATTCAGTGATTTTTAGTATTTCACACAGTTGTGTACCTATCACCACAATGAATTTTAGAACCTTTTCATCATCTCCAAAAGAAATCTTGCATCTGTTCAGAGACACTCTCTATTTCTTCCCCTTCCCAGTCCTGGACAACCTCTAATCTACAATGTGTGTCTATGAGTTTGTCTATTCAGGACATGTTCTATAAATGGAACAATACAACATTTGGTCTTTTGTGACTCAGTTATTTCACTTACCATGTTTTCAGGGTTCTTCAATGTTATAGCATGTGTATCTGTACATCATTACTTTTTAAAAAATATTTAAAAATTTATTTTTAGAGGGAGAGGAAGGGAGGGATAAAGAGAGGGAGCAAAACATTGATGTGTGAGAGAAACATAGATTGGTTGCCTCTTGTACACCCGCAACAGGGGACTGGCCCAAAACCCAGGCATGTGCCCTGGCTGGGAATTGAACTGGCCGCCTATTGGTTTGCAGGTTGATGCCCAACCCACTGAGTAACACCAGTCAGCGCATGTACTTCATTACATTTTTCTTTTAATTATATTTTACTGATTATGCTATTATAGTTGTAGCAATATTTCCCCCTTTGCCCCCTCTACCCAGCAACCCCTCCTCTCTCAGGCAATCCCACCACCATTGTTCATGTCCATGAATCATGCATGTAAGTTCTTTGGTTACCCCATTTCCTATACTGTACTTTGCATCTCCATGGCTATTCTGTAACTACCTATTTGTACTTCTTAATCCCTTTTACCTCTTCACCCATTTCCTCACATCCCCTCCCATCTGGAACCATCAAAACACTCTCTGTGTCCATGATTCTGCCTCTGTTCTTGCTTCCTTTTTAGATTCAATTGTTGATAGATATGTACTTATTGCTAATTTATTGTTCATAGTTTTGATCTTTTTCTTAAATAAGTCCCTTTAACATTTCATATAATAATGGTTTGGTAATGATGAACTCCTTTGACTTGACCTTATCTGGGAAGCTCTTTATCTGCCCTTCCATTCTAAATGATTGCTTTGCTGGATAGAGCAATCTTGGCTGTAAGTCCTTGCTTTTCATCACTTTGAATACTTCTTGCCAATCCCTTCTTGTCTACAAAGTTTCTGTTGAGAAATCAGCTAGTGGTCTTACAGGAACTCCCTGTAGCTAACTAACTTCTTGTCTCTTGCTGCTTTTAAGATTCCCTCTTTATCTTTAACCTTTGGCATTTTAATTATGATGTGTCTTGGTGTGGTCCTCTTTGAGTCCAACTTGTTTGGGACTCTCTGTGCTTCTTGTACTTGCATGTCTATTTCCTTCACCAAATCAGGGAACTTTTCTGTCATTATTCTTTCAGATAGGTTTCCAATTTCTAATTCTTTCTCTTCTCCTTCCGGCACCCTCATGATGTGAATGGTGTGACACTTGAAGTTGTCCCAGAAGTTGTTTTTTTGGATTCTCTTATCTTCTTGTTTGATTGGTTGTTTTTTCTTCCTTATATTCCAAATCATTGTTTTGATTCTTGGCTTCATCTGCTCTACTGTTGTTTCCCTGTAAATTGTTCTTTATTTCAATTCATGTATCCTTTGTTTCTGACTGGAGCTTTTTTATGTTCCTGAAGTCCTCACTAAGTTCCTTGAGCATCCTCATACCTGGTGTTTTGAACTCTGCATCTGATAGATTGCTCATCTGCATTTCATTTAGCTCTTTTTCTAGAGTTTTGGTTTGTTCTTTCATCTGAGCCGTGTTGCTTTGTCTCCTCATTTTGGCAGCCTCCCTATGTTTGTTTCTGTGTATAGTTAGAGCTGCTTTGACTCCATGTCTTTTTAGTGTGGCCTAATGTAGTAGATGTCCTATAGTGTCCAGTGGTACAGCCTCCCCTATCACCCAAGCTGGGTACTCAAGGTGCATCTATCATGTAGCCTGAGTATACCCTCCTCTTGTTGTTGAGTCTTGATTGCTGTTGTCAGGTCAATGGGAGGGGTTTACCCAGGCTAGTCAGCTGCCAGAACTGGCTGTGACCACTGCCTACCAACCTGTGACTGCGGTGGAGGATCAGCTTTGCAGGAGCCCACCCCACAGAGCAGAATTTATTTATTTCATCATGGCTCTGGCACCCACTGAGTCAGTCCCTTGAGTGTGTCACTTGTGAGGTGGTTGGGTGGTTTTGATGTGGTCTTAAAGCTGTCCACTGGGTGCCCTGGCTCTGAGGCCTCCAAGGAGGTACAGGTTAAGGTCAGCCACCACCTGAGTTCTGCCCAGGGATGCCTGGCATAAAGCTACAAAGCGATAAGCATATGGCTGCTACTCGTGCTGGGTTCAGAGGGGCCCAGGTGAGGCCATTATGTGAACTAAAGCTTTCTGCCCATAGTGCCAGGCCTGGAGCCACTGAGTGAAAGGTACAGGGCTTGCTGAAGCTAGATGCTACTTCTTTGAGAGAATTCAGGAAAATCTAGAGCATGAGCAAACAAGCCATTTGTATAGAAAAGCCACTGGAAATAGCTTGGGAGGGCCTGCAAGTTGTGTGGAACATGGCCTCAGGGAATCACCAGGGTGGGGCAAACAGTGTGAGCCAGGTTGATTGAGCCTCAGATATGGTATGGTACCTGCTGGCTGTGTGAGGGGATGGCTCAGTAAAGGAATGATGGCTTTTGCCGGCACCTCTGTCTTATAGCAAGCTGCTCCTTCAGCTCTCACTCTCATGCCAAATAATTCAGTTCCTCCCCATATGTCTCTGTTGCCTTTCAAGCTGCTCCCTTGTGCTGTAGTTCAGAGGGAATGACTCCATGTAAGTCCATGCTGGTCCTTTAAGAGGAATTGTTTGGGACTCCTAAAGCTTCCATCTTCATCATGCTCAATCCCCACTGGTTTTCACAGCCAGAAGTTATGGGGACTTCTCTTCCTGGCACTGAAACCTTGAGCTGGATGGCCTGGTATGTAGCTGGGACCTCTTGCTCCTCATGGGGCACGTCTGCAGCTGAGATTTCCCTCCTGATCTTTAAGCTCCACACATGGATGTGGGACCAGCCCATTCTACATCTCTGCCCCTCCTACCAGTCTGTATGTGTTTTGCTTCCTTTAAATTCCATAGTTGTAGGCCTTCCATTCAGCTTGATTTCATGTGGTTCTTAATGATGTTTATTCTATAGTCTAGTTGCAGTTTTGATGTGATTTTGGAAGGAGACAAGTGCTGTGTTTATCTGCACTACCATCTTAACTGGAAGTCCTAAGTATGTATCTTTATTTAGCACTTTGGTAGGTACTAAAAGGGCTGTGTAAGTCATAAAATCTTTAAAAAATCCTCACCAAGGAGATATTTATTGATCTTAGAGGGGAAAGGAGAAAGACAGAGAGAGAGAAACATCAATGTGAGAGAAACATCGATTGGTTGCCTTTTGTATGCACCCTGGCTGGGGGTCAAACTCACAACCTAGGTATGTGCCCTGACTGAGGCTGGAACTCACAACCTCTGGTGTACAGCATGATGTTCTGACCAACTGAGTCACCTAGCTAAAGCTAAGACAGGATCTTTGATATCAAGGAGCCTGGTTTGGAAATAAGACTAACACTAAAATAAAGAATAAATGATACAAAATAGTATAATTAATTGCTTAATTATGTGAAACTGAATGAATATAGGAATTCAAGGAAGAGAGAGATCAATGTAAACTGTAGTGGTTGACTGAAAGCATCACGGATATTCCTGGTGAGACTGGACTGGATTTGAGTTATGTAAAGAGAATGGAGGGAGTTATATCAGGTGAAGTCAATGGCATGAATAAAAGTGAATAAATAGGAACGAACAAGTTATGTTCATGGGACAGTGAGACAATTACTGTAACAGTGGGTAAATTTGGTAGGGGGGAGGCAAAATATGATTAGATTATGAGGGGCCTATAAATGACTCACAGTAGTCACATAAGCATAAAACATGCAAGAAAAAATATTGGAGGTGAACAGTATTTTGACTGGCTAAGAAAATGTTTCTCTTGTCTAGGTTGAAGAAATGGCAATAAGCCTGTGGAACTGGGCACTTTCCAAGAAAGTTGGTTTGGATGTAACTGGAGAGCAGAGAGCTAAAGGTACGTATGTATTTTATGATTCATTGTGAGGAGTATTTTTATCAGATTGTGTTCCTGTAGTTTAAATAAAAGTTTGACCAGTTCTTAGATGGAAATTTGTTAAAAGACATCTAAGCAAAATAACCCATTAACAGAGGTTTCTCGAGCAAAGACCCTTCCTCAGTTTTATGATTTTTCAGAAATTAGCTCCGTATTAATAAAAGTTTAAAAGTACTACTTCAAGAAATTGTCTGGTGATGAACAACAAAGATGATTAAAGGGTGGGAAAATGAGAACTTGAGGAAGTGTTAAAAGACACAGATTATTTTCCTTGGAGAAGATATGATCTGGATTCTGAAGTACTATCAAATAGTAGTTTCCTCTCTCCATTAAAAATAGAAAGGAAGATGTTGCTATGTGAGGGATTTAGATGGAAAACTCTGTAATGGTTAGTTTCCTCATGAGGTTGGCTCATGAACATTGGACTGAGTTACTGAGAAACACCAGACAAGTTTTTTTCTACCTGTGAGAGCAAATAACAAGAGCAACAACAAAGCAAAAGCCCACAACCAAACTCATCTGCTTGGGTGCATTAAATGTGGTTCACTGGCAAAGTTCTAGTGCTTAAGCTAAATGGCCAGGGTCTAATGTGCTCACAGGTGGTGATTGCCAGCAAGGATAGTGACATTTAATGCAGTTTTGGAAATTCTATTGCCCAATTAATATAAAGGATACATTGAGGGAAGAACCCAAAGGGGAATCTCTGGACTGGTTTACTTTGTAAAGACAAATTTTATTGGTATGTGACAAATAGAGTTTATTACCAAGTATTATCTTTATGAATATAAACCAAACTGTATACAACTTGAGTATAGGTATAGGGTAATTAGTGGTTAATAATGTCAATTATATACTTACTCATTAGTCCACTCCTCTATTAGGATGTTTTTAGAGAACAATTTCTACCTCTTTAACTCAGAAAAATTGTTCAGATCATTGCTCCTAGGAGCCTTAGATCCTGTAGTTATGGGGAGGGAAGAGTTAGAAATTTATCCGTGGAGAAACTTTTTACACAGGTAAACCGTGTAATAGCAAAATACATTAATTCTAAATTCCCACTATTCTGCATATTAAGGAATGTTGCTGTGGCAGATTTTCACTGCTTGTCATGTAGTAGGGATTTGGTAGATGAAGTGGGAGCTGTAGGCCTAGGACCTCTCCCAGTGTACTGACTCTGTGCATGTTGCAGTTCTTAATCAGATATTTGGGTATATACACACATGCATACACATATGTATATATATACATAGTATTTTTAAGATACAGTGGAAAACAGGATGTAATGCAGGAAGCCTCTGATTTAAAAGAGTTTTATTTCAAAAGTATTATGTTGGAAGATATTTTGTCTCCTTAAAAACAAATTCAGTGTGCCTGGTTTATGTTATATGATGAAAAAAGGCATCAAGATTTATAGACTATCATTTTTATTACTGGGAAGACTTACTGAACAATGACAAGAAAGAGGGAAGCCAGAATAGAGGAATGACTTATAAATTTTCATTTTAGACATGTTGTGTTTAAGGTTACAGTAAGGTTGGAGATATGAGAAAGGTCAGGCTGCCTGTAGATTTGCTAGTTATTCACATGGAGGTGATTATTGAAGTCATAGGTGTAGTTGAATTATCTAAGGGAGAAAATAAAGAGCAACAGTTCTTTTTTAAAATTGATTTTTAAAGAGAGAGAGGGACAAAGAGTGCATGAGACACCCATTTGTTGTTCCATGTATTTGTGCATTCATTGGTTGACTCTTATATGTGCCCTGACCAGGGATTGAACCTGCACACTTGGTGTATGGGGATGGTGCTCTAACCAACTGAGCTACCTGGCCAGGGGAGAGCAACGGTTCCTAAATATTGGTATAACTAAAGATTACCTGTGGAGCTTATTTACCTATAGATGCCTAGGCCCTGCCATTGGTGAAGAAAATTCTCAGGAATTCTCATGCCTGCCAAATTTTCAGAACCAGTGGTGTGGAGAGAACAGAGTAGTGAGACTTTTACCCTTGAGTCTTCCAAGTCTGGGGAGAAAAAGAACAAGGGTATAAGACCAAAAGATAGTCAAAACATTTTCAGCAGCCAATCTCCAGAGGAGACTCACTACCCATTTATTGAAAACATAGTTCCAATAGGATTGTCATACCATGTTATGGGAGGCCATAGGAGAATGGGACAAGATAAAGCTCCAGAACAAAACTACCAGGAATACATTATGCTTGAGGATCTGGGAAGGAATGAATGAACAAGAAAAACAAAGAATTCACAAATGCCAGAGGAGACAAAGCTATGTGTTGTCTCAAGTCTATTCAAATGTCAAGCTGTGGGCACTGATGGAGCAGAGTAAGGCAGATATAAGGAGTCAATCAGCAGTCACCTATCCAAGATGTTTATAATATAGAGGGGCCAAGGACGGACTGAGAAGACAAGGATAGAGCAACAGCCACAAAGAGCACATCTTTATACTAAAGGAGCATTCTGTCTCAGCTTTAGCTGCCTTTGGCTGAAGGCTGGTTGGCGATAACTATAAAGAGCTGGATCAAGAATGTGGAGATGGGAGCAAAGTTCTTAGGCTATAAGACATTTCCCACAGAGGGACACTGCTCAAAGCTATGAGGTCAAGGAATTAGTATTTTTCAGAAAGGTTATGATCACTGTGAAATATTGCTTGTGAAGTCAGGGAAGGTGATCTTTGGGAGTGCGGTTTTAAGCGAAGTGGTACAGCTGCGAAAACATTGTAGGGGCTTAAGGAGATGAGTGAGTAGTAAGAAAATAGAGGTAGTAGATAGACCATTCAAATCAAGAAGCTTGGCAGTGAAAGGAAGGGGAGAAATGGGATGAAAGCTTGAAGCACTGTGGGGTTGATTTTTTTTCAAGGAATGGAGATGGATATGTTTGAACATAGAAGGGAATGCATTGAGAGGGAAGTGCTGATGGTATCTTGGGAGATGGGAAATAATTAAGAGATCAGGGTCCTTAAGAATGCTGAAGAATTAGTGAACTTTGGAAAAAATAAAGGAAACATTTTAAAAACTGGAAATGCAAGACAGTATGCATATGATCATTATTATACCACAAGATTTTTTTTCAGGAATAAATTAACCTCATTAAGGGATGAATAGATTTTATATTTTATGATGGATCATAAAATGATGTTTCTACTTCAGTTACCCTGCAATTTTAGCTGGAAATCTCTTTTTAACTGAATACGAATTAAAAGTGGATTTAGCATAGGTAGTGTGGCTGCTGAGACCTAACATCAAGGCAGCTAGTGTACTTATAGGGGAAGGCATCCTTTAAAAAACTGATTGTTTTATGGTAAAAGAAACTACACAAATAAGGAGGTTACAGTTATTCAAACTTTCCTGTTTTCAGGGGAACTGAACTGTATCATGAAGATATCTGTCTAAATTATATTTTAAGAAATTTTACGCCATCTACAGCAAAGAATATATTTAGAAAGTTTCAGTTTTAGGAGAGTAATCCATAATTACCCTGTTGTTCAGAAATTTTGTGAGATGTTGAATAGCTTTAGATTCTAGTTCCGGTTAGGATTATTTTGCTCTTCATACACACCAGAGCATCATGTGGAACCAGGTATTTTCAGTGAATCTTTGGGCTTAAGACCTGCAGAAATTAAACTGAAAATTCAGTCTTTGTCTGACTAGAGCCTTAAGCAAATGATTCATCTGATAAATTGCAGATCATTGCTTTTGATAACTAATTTTTAAAAAGCCTTTAAAGTTCTTTTTTTAACAACAGTACTTGTTTCACTTCACATCTTTCTCTCTGTAGGTTTAGATAAGAGGAGAAGGAATTCTTTGTGTTCATGGGTGTCTAATTACTGTTTTGCAGTACGGCACGTGGCTTGCAAGATGCTATGCATGTGTGAAAACCCAGATGCTACGGAGGAAGTTATTCATAGGCGGATTGTGGTAAGTCCTAATGAAGTGAGGACAATGTGTAGATGCAATGAAATAGTCACGACTCCTGTGAAGATGGTTGAAGTTGCGGTGAACCCGGAAGCAAGTTATAGCCTTTAGTGTATCCATGTTCCTTTTAGGATAATTCTGTGTATTAAAATGAAAGGTCTAAGCAGGACTATCAGTTATTAGAGTGATTCAGTGGACTAAATATTGAATTTATAATTCAAGATTTGTGAAAAGTAATGAAAAGTTATTGTTTTCTGATCCATCCTTCCCTACCCTCTACTTCACTCCCTAGAGGCAAATATGTATTTCTAGTGGAAAGTATTTCTCCAGTGTTTTAAAACAGTATTTTATTGAAAGTATCAAATGTACACACAAAATTGACTGATCCACCCATTTACTCATTATTCAACTAAAGGAATCATCAGCACATGACAGCTTTTGTTTCTTCTGTATCTCCTCCAACAACAAACCCCCATGGATTATTGTGAAACAAATCCAAAATACATCATTTCACCCATAAATGTCTCCATATATGTCTCCAAAAGACAAGGTATCTTTTTTATTCAAACTAACCCAATACCCATTGTCACACCTAATAAAATTTAACAGAGATTTTCTAAAATTATAAATGTCCAGTATCCCCTACTCTGTCTGCCCTCTCCTTCTCCCCACCTCCACTTTGTTTCTTACAATCAGAACTAAGGAAAATCCACACCATATATTTTATTAGTAGGTCTCTTTTTATTCATTGATTTATTATTTTCTACAAAGATTTTATTTATTTACTTTTTAGAGAGAGGGGAAGGGAAGGAGAAAGAGAGGGAGAGAAACATCAATGTGTGGTTGCCTCTCTTGTGCCGCCCTCCACTGGGGACCTGGCCCACAACCCAGGCATGTGCCCTGACTGGGAATTAAACCAGCAGCCCTTTGGTTTGTAGGCCATCACTCAATCCACTGAGTTCCACCAGGCAGGGTTCTTTCTGTAAATCTACATCTTTCTCCCCACCTTAAGAAATCTGTTGAATAAATGTATTTATTGGAGAAACAAGTTGTTTATAGTTTTCTAAATTCTGTATTCTTTTTAAAAATATTTTATTTATTTATCTTTAGAGGGGAAGGGAAGGAGAGAGGGAGAGAAATATCAATGTATGGTTGCCTTTCACGCGTCCTCTGTTGGGAACTGGCCTACAACCCAGGCATGTGCCCTGACTGGGAATCGAACCGTGATCCTTTGGTTCGCAGGCCTGTGCTCAATCCACTGAGCTACACCAGCCAGGGCTAAAATTCTGTATTCTGATGACTGCATCCTCAGCATTGTATAATATAATTCTCTATATCTTGTTTTTCCTGTACTGGTGGATTTAGAAGCTTGATCTGATTCAGGTTCAATTTTGTTGAGAATAATTCATAGACTGTATGGTATAATTCCATCAAAAAGCACTAATGTCTGCTTCTTCCTTCTTTCTTACCTTAGTGACCTTTGATAATTTTTGTTCCCGGATTCATTATTTCTGTAAGGGTTTGCATATTCTGAATTCTGTATTTCTTTGTTTATTAACTGAAATAGAGAGAAACTTCTCCTCATCAACTATGTGGTTAGTCTGAAATATACTTTTACAGGAAAGACAGTCTTGATTCTTTCCTTTTATTTAGCATATTTTAACTTTCTTCAAGTATGTGAGGCATTATTTTTTTAGAATTTTATTATCTAAATTATCCCAATATTCTTTTAATATTTCCTTCAAAGATGTGTTTTCAAATGGTTTTTATTAATGCTTTTCTCAAGACCATTTCTCCTTAATTACGAAGTTCAAAGCAGAACACAAAACTCTAATAAATATTGATTGTTGCCTTTTTGTTTTCTGTGGATTATACTACTGAGTATGGACAGAAAATGAAACACTTTCTCCAGTACCCTCCTCAGCCAGTCTGGAGAAGGTGTGATTTTAAAAATTTTCTTTAACAAAATAAAAAATAAAAATCTTTTCTAATTTCTCTCTTCCAGATGAATATGAAAACAGGAAAAGAATGGGTAGATGTTGGAAATGGTGTGATGGCTGATACATTTTTTGAAGTTGCCATAAATGTAAGTTACCACTGATTTTAAGTCATAGCAATGATTTATAATAGTTATGGTGTTTCTCATTATTACATAATATTGTGGTTTTATTTTTCAGGGTTTGGAGCAATTTTATGCCAGATTAGTAGAAAATTGCCTTACTGAGCCTGCAGTGGCTATGCAGAAGTGTGCTGTGGAGAAGGAGCTTTTCAAAGTGCTTTCTTACCAAGCAGAGTCAGTAAGTATCATAGTTTCCATGACCTCACAGGGCATTTTGTATATGTAAATGAAAAAGTGATGATGCATAACCTATTCGAAGAAGGTGAGGTGTCATTGGCCTTTCATAAGAATATATTTGACCTTTTTTTATCTCCGTTTTGTATCTGATTTTGTATCTGAAGGTAACATTAGTAATGGCAATTGGTATCTATGTCAGGGTAGATGAGTTTGGAAAGACTAATATATAGCTAAACATCATTTTAACCACTGTATGTATATCATTTATTTATGGCAGTAGCCTCTACTTGAAACACTCAACTCTGTGACACTTTTACATCCAGAATGTGCCTAAAATATGTGCCTTCATATGAAAATAACAGCCTTCCCATTTGTGATTGTTCTGGCGGTTTTTGTGAAGTCCATTGCTGTCACCCTGGCTGGTGTGGCTCAGTGAGTGAGTGCCAGACTACAAACCAAAAGGTCACTGGTTTGATTTCCGGTTGGGGGCATGTTCCTGGGTTGTGGACCAGGTCCCTAGTTGCTGGTGTGCAAGAGGCAACTGATTGATGTTTCTCTAGCACACTGATGTTTCCCTCCTTTTCTCTCCCTCCTTTCCTCTCACTCTAAGAAATAATTAAAATCTTTAGAAAGTACTAAAGTCTGCTGTTATCAGTGTTCAAAGTTGTGCTTTACGTTCGTTTAGCTTCTGGTTCCCTCCTTTAGTCACCATCAGTTAGGTGTGCATTTTCAGTTGACAAAATATAAGCCAGGATGAGTTTGTGCTCTGTAATTATGTAATTCTAGAAATAAAAGCGACCTTAAATATCACCTAGTATAATTCTCTTATTTTATTTTAACATATTTATTGAGATATAATTCACATGCTATGAAATTCACATGTTCAGAATGTATAATTGAATGGATTTAGTATATTCACAGAATTATGTAGTCTTTGTCACAATCTAAGATTGAAGCATTTTTATCACCCCAAAATGCAACCCCCTATGTGTTACCAGTCATTCCCCATTCCTCCTGATCCCAGTCTAGCAATCACTAATCTCCAGTCTCTATAGATTTACCTCTTATGCACATTTCATATAAATGCAATCATACTATAAGTATTCTTTTGTGATTAGATCCTTTCACTTAGCATGTTTTCAAGGTTAGTCCATGTTGTAACATTTATTAGTATTTCATCTTCTTATTACCAAATAATGTTCCATTCTATGGTCATACCACATTTTGTTTACCCATTCATCCATTGATGAACATTTGGGTTGTTTTCAATTTTGAGCTATTGTGAATAACTCTGCTGTGAACATTTCATGTACAAATTTTTGTGTGTACATGTTGTCATTTCTCTTACATACATACCCAGGAGTAGAATTGCCGAACAACACAATAACTCTGTGTTTAACTTTTTATGAAACTTGATGACTATTTTCCATAGTGGCTGTACCATTTTACACTTCCACCAGTGATATACGAAGGCTTCAGTTTCTCCACATCTGAGAATTTTATAGTTTCAGCACTTACATTTAGATCTATGATCAATTTCAAGGTAATTTTTAGGTATGGTGTGAAGTGGGGGTCCAACTTCATTTTTTTGCTTGTGGTTATCCAGTTGTCTCAGCACCATTTATTGAAAAGACTATTCCCATTGAATGGCCTTGGCACCCTTGTCAAAAATCAGTTTATCATAAATGTGAGTTTATTTTTTGACTCTTGATTTTATTCCACTTTGATCTTATGCCAGTACCTCACTGTGTCGATTCTAGTAGCTATGTAGTAAGTTTTGAAATCAGAAAGTGTGAGTTCTCCAACTTTGTTATTTTTATGATTTGTTTACACTATTGATTTTTAAATTTTATTTCTTTACTTACTTTTAGAAAGAGGGAAGGGAAGGGGAGAGAGAGGGAGAGAAACATCAGTTGGTTGCCTCTTGCATGCGACCAACCTGGCCTGCAACCCATGCACGTGCCTGGAATTGCATGTGCCTGGAAACCAGGAATCAAACTGGTGACCTTTCAGTTTGCAGGCTGGCGCTCAACCCACCAAACCACATCTGCCAAGGCTTTCATGATTATTTTGAGTATTTTGGGTCACTTACATTTCCAAATGAATTTTAGGGTAAGCTTGTAGATTTGTACAAAGAAGTCAGCTGGAATTTTGATAGGAATAGTGCTGAATCTATTAGTCAGTTTGAAGAGTTTTGCTATCATAAAAAATGTTAAGTATTTTAATTTATGAATATGGGGTGGCTTCCAATTTCTTTAGGTTTTGTTTAATTCCTTCAATATAAATTTTTTTTATTTTAAAATATTTGTTTATTTATTTTTATGGAGAGGGGAAGGGAGGGAAAAAGCAAGGAAGAGAAACATCAATGTATGGTTGCCTCTCGCATGCCCCCTACTGGGGACCAGGCCTTCAACCCAGTCATGTGCCCTGACTGGGAATCCAACTGGTAACCCTTTGGTTCACAGGCCAGCACTCAATCCACTGAACCACATCAGCCAGGGCAGAATCTGCTCTCCTATTATGTCTCTCTGACATTCTGGTCCCCTCCCCCCTAAAAAAAAGAGTGATAGCACAATATTTCATATGAGATATGAAATATTGGGAGGTACTGGTTTAGACAAGTGCTATAAGAGTGTAGAAAAAGGAAGGAGATTATTGTGGACTGGATTGGTAGGGGAAGACACATAAATGATTTAGGACGTGATTTGGACTTTGAAGGAAGGAACAGATTTAGAAAAGTAGAGAAGGGGCACAGGATATTCCAGACAGAACGAAGGCTTGAGCAGGAGCAAAGTTTATAGGCAGAAATATGCATGTCTTACTTAAGGCGTGTTGAGTGACCAGTTTATTTGAAGGAAGGTATTTGTACAAGGACTAAGCTTGGAGAAATAAGTTGGGCCAAGTTGAGAAGGCCCAATATATCTCTTGGAAAAAAATACTTTTTCTGTTTTCCTAAAGGACCTGGAGTGGTTGAAGGTTTTAGGAAAGAGGCAAAGTGGCATAAATTGAAGAGTAATCTGGCCATAGTGCTTAGGATGGGTGAAAAAAGTGAATAGATTGGAGGCATGGTGTAAGTGTGAAGTAATGAGAGCCTGGACTGCAGTAGTGGCAATAACAATGGGAAGGAAGGGAGTAGGTGTAGAAGAAATTGTAATGGAAGCAAGCAAGCATTTACACTCCATGAGAAGGTCAGAATCACTCTGTTCTTGGAGGCAGGAAAGGGAGGATAACAAGAAAGCTGATTCATTCTGCAGTTACATGTTGGGGAGGGTATAGTAAAAAGTAGAGCAAACAAAAAGGACAAGATGACATGAGAGACGAAGGAGGAGTAGAACAGTGAGAAGAGAAAAAACATTCCAAGGAAAATGGGATGATCGGATGTGGCCAGTGTTTCAGAGAAATAAAGGAAAATGAGGTGGAAGAAAGGGCTATGGGAACTTGCATTTATGAAGATGATAGTGGCCACACAAAGCAGTTTTAGCAGCAAGATAAAATTGGCAGACTGTAGGAGTTTAAAGACTCAGTGGATAGTGAAGCAATTCAAGAAATTAGTACTCTCCTGGTCCATTCATGTTGTCACTGTGAGGTCAAAACTATTTTCTTAATAACTCTAAGACATTATTTGCCTTTTTATTTGCTATGTTGACATTTGTACTAGGGGTGCAAAAGCAATGGTAGGTAAAATTTCTGGCCCTTTTAACATGAATCAAGACAGTGGCACACTCTTTCCTAGTCATTATGTTCTTTACCGCTACACACTTACAGTAACAAGAACACCAGTTTTAACTTAAAAATACCCTTTGTGATTTAGTAAAAATAATTGATTTTACTAAATCTTGAAATTTCAGTACATATTGTTTTAATATTCTACATAAAGAAAAGGGAAGAGAGCACTTTGGCACAGCGGTCCAAATAATTGTCTTCAGGAAAGGCCCTTATGTGATTGTTTGACTTGTGAGCTGAATTAACTACTTCCGTCTTCACAGAATACCATTTGTACTTGAAAGAATGACAGGTAAATTTGTTTATTCAGACTTGGGTACCTAGCAGACATTTTCACAAAAATGAATGAAGTGAGAAAGTGACGTCAAGGAAAGCACTGACAGTATTTCTTGTCAGCAATAAAATTTTAATTTTTAAGTAACAATTAGAATTTTGGAAAATTTGTACCTCCACCATGAACTTGACAGCCTCCAGATACTTAAACTTTTTTTAAAAAAAGATTTTATTTATTTACTTTTAGAGAGAGGGGAAGGGAGGGAGAAAAAGTGGGAGAGAAACATCAATATGTGGTTGCCTCTCACATGACCCCCACTGGGGACCTGGCCTGCAACCCAGGCATGTGCCCTGGCTGGGAATTGAACCGGCACCCCTTTGGTTCACAGCCCGTACTCAGTCCACTGAGCCACACTAGCCAGGTCCAGATACTTAAACTTTTATGATAAAAGTGATGGTGACATTAACTAATGTGATTTTTAAATAGTTTTATTTTGAAAAAATTAGAGATCCACAGGAAGTTGCAGAAATAGTAAAGTCTGGTGTATGTGTTGCCCAGTTTTCCTCAATGGTAACATCTTGTATAAATATAGTGCATTGTCAAACTAGTAAATTGGCATGGGTACAATCCATGAACCTTACTCATATTTCACCAGTTTTATACGGCCTTGTGTGTGTTTCTATAGTTCTGTGTAGTTTCATCACCTGGATAGATTCATGTAACCACCACAATCAAAATACAGAACAGTTCCCTCACCGAAAAGATCCCTTGTGCTTTCCCTTGTAGTTATATACATTCCCTCAACCTCAGTACCATGCAATCAATAACCTATTCTCCGCCTCTATAAATTTTGTCACTTGGGAATGTTATAGAAATGTAATGTATGTAACCTTTTGGTATTGGCCTCTTTAACGTGGCATAATTCCTTTGACAGTCACCCAAGTTTTGCATATCAATAGTTTGTTCTGTATTTGTAAGTAATATTCTATAGTGGTATAGATTTACCAGTTTGTTTAGCCATTCACTGTTGAAAGACTTAGGGTTGTTTGAAGTTTTTGCCTATTGCAAATAGAGTTGGCATGAACATTTATATACAGGATTTTTTTGTGTGGACATAAAATTTCATATTGTGAATTTCACTCATAGTGACATTGAATATTTTTTCATGTATCTACTGGCCATCTGTATTTCCTCTTTGGAAAAATGTCTAATAAGGTCCTCTGCCCATTTTAAAATTAGGTTCTTTTTGGTCAATACCAAAATTTTGTGAGTTCTTCATGAATTTTGGATATTAACCTTATCAGATGTATTGGTGAATATATTGTCCCATTCAGTGGGTTGTCTTTTTATTTTGTTGGTCTCCTTTGCTGTGCAAGACCTTTTTAGTGGGACGTAGTCCCATTTATTTATTCTTTTGTTCCTTTGCCTGGGGAGATATATCAGAAAAATACTGCTACAAGCAATGTCTGAGATTTTACTGCCTATGTTGTCTTCTAGGATTTTTATGGTTTTGGGTCGAATATTTAAGTCTTTAATTCATTTTGAAGTTATTCTTGTGTGTGGTATAAGAAGGTGATCTAGTTTCATTTTTCTGCACGTATGTGTTCAATTTTCCTAGCACCGTTTATTGAATAAAATATCTTTAGCCCATTGTATGTACTTGCTTCCTCTGTCAAAGTTTGACTATAAAGGTTTATTATATGGGTTTATTTCTGGGCTCTCTATTCTGTTCTGTTGATCTATGTGTCAGTACCACAGGTTTGATTACTCTAGCTTTGTAGTGAGTTTCAAAATAGGAAAGTGTGAGCCCTACATCCTTGTTCTTTTCAAAATGGTTTTGCCTATTCTGTGTCCCCTCGATTTCCACATGAAGTTTAAGATCAGCAAATCAGTTTCTGCCAAGAAAGCCAGCTAGAATTTTGATGGCAATTGTATTGAATCTGTAGTTCAACTTAGGGAATATTGCCATCTTAAGAGAATTAAGTCTTCTGATCTGTGAACATGGGATGTGTTTCCATTTATTTAGGTCTTCTTTAATCTATTCCAACAGTTTTTTTGGTCAGTGTACAAACCCTAACAGTTCTTTTGTTAAATTTATTCCCAATTATTTTGGTTTTTGACGCTAATTTAAGTGGAATAAATACTTAATATCATTTTTGGTTTACTTATTGCTAATGGAGAGACATACAATAGATTTTTGTATATTGTACCCTGTATCCTGGTTGAACTTGTTTATTCAAGTTTCGTGGACTTCTTTGGATATTTTACATACAAGATCATGTCATTTGAAAATAGGGATAATTTTATTTAGAAATTATACTTACAAATAAATTTCACAGGAGGAGGTGCAAGACTAGTGCACTGAAAATTACAAAAATATGGAAAGAATTTAGAGATAAGCTAGTATGGTGTCCTAATTTTATAGATGAGGAAATTGAAGCCATGAGAGCATAAGGTTCAAGGCTATGCATAATAAATATCAGAGTAACTCTTCTGGCTCTAAGATTAGGTTGTACTAAACTGCCTTTATGGCAATAGCAGACATTCAGAGCAATTTAGACTGTGAAGTTATTGTAAGCCTGTTTTAGGACAAAAGACTGCTATTTAACATTAAAAATTCCTCTGATACAAGACCTATTCAATCCCAGGAAGTATCTGTTAGATGTGGCATTATATCATAATAACATAGAGTTGTACACCAATTTTGACGTTTCCACAAGAAGTAAATGACTTCCAGTCATTAGTGTCAATTTTGTGTTACCCAAGACTCTTGCCTTTTATTTCTTTGTATTTTGTGCCAGTTATTATGTTTAGCAAGACTAAAGAATTAGAAAACAAATTAAGACTTTTAAATAACAGTTAAAATATGTTAAAATTGACCTGTAGACAAATAGCTTGTTATTTCATTTGAACTAATTATTGACATTTTTCACTTTCCTAGGCAGTTATTCAAGGGGATTTTCCAAGAGCATCTACATGCATACTGCGCTGCAAAGATATGTTGATGAGGGTCCCTAATATGGTGAGTGAAATTTCTGCATTTAATCATGAAGAGTTTGAAAATATGTCAAGTTTTAGGAAGAATTATTGCTATTTTATGCAACCCTTTAGAGATTATATTGAAATCAGTTCTACTTAGCTGATCTTTGAAATATTTTTGCTTCACTTGTTGTACAAGAGAGGACCCCCCCCAAAAAGCAGAATTTATTTATAAAAAGTTGTACATTCATTCTTACATGTTTGAACTTTGGGCACCTTCAGAGTGTTCTCCATTTGATGCAGTACACTTACTAAGATATTTTTTCCTCTGCTCAAAACAGTTTTTGAAGTCATCAGTTTTGATGCCTTTTAGTGCTTCTGCTATTTTTGTTCACCTCTTCCACATCAGCAAAATATTTCCCTTTGACGACTTTTTTCATCTGGGGAGCCAGAAAAAGTTGCTCAGGGGGGAGACTGGGTGCATAGGGAGGGTGGGGCATGGGGGTCATGTTGTTTTTGGTCAGAAACTGCTGAACACTCAGCAGTGTGGGCAGGTGTGCCGATAAATCACACACCATGAAGTGGGCAAACGTGTTGAGTTTTCAAAAAAAATTTTACTGAAGCTGAATACAGCCTCTCACAATAACACCAGTTGGTGCACTGATACAGATGGGTCCCCAGAACACTCACCTAGTTGGGGAAGTCTGTACTATAAGGGGCCCACCATCTAGAAGATAATTCCAGTTTTGGGGGGATCATTCTTATACTAGAAAAGGTGTTTAAAAATAAATATGGGGTATTTCTTAAAATTTCTTTGCTTTCCCTGTTATTATCAAACCATCTTGATGGTATTTCCTCCATATTTTGTGCTATGTGATAAAAAAGAAAAAATAAGTTTATTTCTCTGCTGGCAAGTTTAACAAGCAGTTGATGATATCACTGCTATAGTATTTTACTATATTGGGATTTGGAGGTGTGAGATATTTGATAGGATAAATAAAACCTGCTTTCTAGCGTGTATCTCATGAAATTTCCAGAGTTAGTAAGTTTTTATTTTTCCACTTTATCTGCCTTTTTCTATTCTTTCTCCCCCATTTCAGTGCCTATGTCTACTTCATGTTTATTATCACGGAGGGAATTGGTAACAAAGATATATTTGGATGTTAAGGAGAATGTTCCCAGGGCTCCATAAATTATGCTTGCTTGTGAGACTGGTCTTATTTTACCCCTAATTCCATGTTATCATGTAGAAGTTAATTCAGTAAATATTTATATATTGCCAATTAGATGCTAGGTATTCTTCTCAGCTGTAAAAATTTTAAAGCAATTTCATATTTATAAAAATGTTCCAAGAATAGTTTAAGGAACTGCTGGAAACCCTTTGCCCAGAGAACCCATTCCAGTTTCCCAGTACTGTCCTTTGTACAGAATGACTTCAATCTGGGATTGTACCTGGTCCCTAGTTTCTTTTTATCTGGAACACTTCCTCACTCTTGGATTCACTTTCATAACCTTGGCAGTTTAGAAGATTAGAGACCAGGCATTTTATAGAACATGACTTAATTTTTTTAGTTAAATTTTTTATTGAGATAAAATCAGCCATATAACATTGTGTAAGGTTGAGTGTATGATGTGTTGGTTTGATACAGTTATATACCATAATATGATTACTGCAGTGGCATTATCTAACTAACTAACACCTTTACCAGGTCACAGATCATTTTCTGGTGTGTATTGAGAACAGTTAATCTCTGGTCTCTCAGTAATTTTGAAATCTATAATACAGGACCATTGACTCTGTTGTGCATTAGATCTCCGTAACTTATTTATCTACTAGTTTCAGATTTGTGCCCTTAAATAATATTTCTTCAACTTCACCACCCTTAATTTGGGTGTTCAGAGTTTTCTTGTGATTAGACCATGTTATAGATTTGGGCCAGAAAATCACAGAAGTGGTAGGTGGAGACGAATCCTGGGGTGCCTTGGGACATTTGCAGGCCCACCTCCAGGCCCGGTCCTGGTAAAAGTCAGCCTTGAAATTTACCTTGGATCTTTCCACGTGCAGCCAGGCCCAGAGCAGACGCAGCCACAAATGTGGATTGCTTGTATCTTCAAGCAGATGCCCAGGACCAGGCATGGACAGTGTCTGACATGGGTCTATGCTGGAGTCCATCCCAAGGGGCCCAAAATCAACATACCAAGTGACCAGATTCATACAACATTAGATTAGCATCCAACAAACTTCACAGACAAGTCCTTCTACTTTGTTCTTCTTCAATATTGTCTTAGCTGTTCTTGACCTTTTATTCTTTCACATTAATTTTTTGAGTTAGCGTGTCAACTTTGGTAAAAAACTATTAGGATATTGATTGAATTGCCATTGGATTTATTGATTAATTTGGACAGGTTCATTATCTTTATAATATTGAGTCATCCTATCTATGAGTTTGATATATCTTAATTCATATAATCTTTAAAGTATTTCAACATAGTTTTGTAATTTTCACATTTGATCATTAGCATAAGTGATATACTAAAGATTATATATTTTTAACTTTAAAAAAATCCATACCTAAGGATATATTTTTTATTGATTTTAGAGAGAGAGGAAAGGAGAAAGAGAGAAAGAAATATTACTTGGTTGCCTCCTACATGTTCCCCAACCGGGGACCAAACCCACAGCCTAGGTATATGTTCTGACTGGGGATCGAACTCACAAACTTTTTGGCTCATAGGATGATGCTCCAACCAACTGAGCCACCCGGCCAGGGCTTAAAGATTATATTTTTGAATTTTTTGTCATTGCTGTATAAGGATGCAGTTTTTATAAATGCTTATTTAATATTTAATAACTTCTCTGAGTTCTCTTACTAATTCTAATGATTTTATCTGTACAGTTTCTTAGATTGTTTGCACTTGCATGTTTCTACCATCTCTTCTGTTGCTATCTATTTAACATTATAAATTACTAGAGGACAGAGAATTTTCTTTAATATGCTTTGTAGAGTTAATAGATATTGAATTGTGTATTGAAAGATATGATGGGAGATTCTTAGATGGTGTGTAGAGAAAGAAAGCTTTTGATATGTCATGCAGTGTTAGAGCTGATGAAGGGAAAAAGAAATGTACAGAGAGAAGAAAGAGATGAATTAGAGAACATAGCATATATAACAGAAGAGTATGTCTTCATCAAGATGGGGCTACTAGTAAAAGACCTTTTTTTAAGTGCAGAGAGTTAATAGTTGTTGTTTTTTTTGGTTGATAGGACTAAACTGTTAGCAACGTCATTTTAATTCTAGAGGTCAGTGAAAGTATTTAGGGTGTTTTTTTTTTTTTTTACGTGCTTAAGGTTTAGACAAGGGACCTGAAAACCTAGAACAGGAAATCTGAGAATGAAAGGAAATGATCAGGTAAAGGTTGGAGAAGAACTAACATAGTGGGGGTTTTTAAGAGAGAGAGAGAGAGATGGATTTTGTTGTTCTACCCATTTATGCATTCATTGATTTCTTCTTGTATGTGCCCTGACCAGGGATCAGATCTGCAACCTTGGCATATGGGATGGCACTCTAACCAACTGAGCTACCCGGCCAGGGCCTAAAACAATGTTTAAAAGGAATTAATTAGTTAAGTAAGCCAGCTCTTTTTTTTTCCCCTTGAGACATCATTCCTGTATCCCAAGACGAGATTAGGAATTACTGTAAGGTGTTGACTTGAAGGCAGAGGTAATGCTTATTGTTCAGAGGTAAATAAAGTGTTTTGAAAACTGTATTTTAGAGTATCAGGAGAAATAACTAACAGCTTATTGTTTTACTGAGATAATCTGAGAATTAGAGAAAGCTGAATAATGGAGGGATTAGAAGGTAAAGGTCTTAAAGCCATTAAGAAAGAAAGCCAGGCAATTATCATTTAATTATTAGTATACTACTGTATAATAATTGAATGATTAGTATACAGTAATTGAACCTATAAATGTTTAATAGACAACAAAATCACACAAAAATAGTTTAGAGTTTGGAATTGGAAAAATAAGAGCAGGTTGGTTTTTACTAAATTAAAAAAAACCAATTTACAAAATAATTTGCAGAAAATGAAGTTACCTAGTTAATTAAAAATAAAAAGCCTTGTAACAGTGGAAAGTTAGTGCTCAATCTTCTATATAATCTCATTTTAGCATTGTAAAGTAGGTATTCAGTTGGAGCTAAAATTTCTGGGCCTGGAGATGCAGCAGTAGCAGAGGTTCTAGAGATCCCATGGGTCCTGAGGATCCCATAATGCACTAGTAAAATGCAATATACAATAGACTTAGAGATCTAGCTTTGTGTTTTTATTTTCACTGTATATTGCTTGCAAAATGAGATGTTAGTACTCTATAGAAGACTAGGAACATATTTTTGAAAGAGATATTTTTATGAATCTTAGTACTTCATACCCCATTAGAAATGTTTCACGAGGACAGATTTTTGTTTTCTTTACTGATGTATCTCCGATGCCTAATAGTTAGGAAATGCTTAGTAAACATTTATTACTGAATGCATAAATGAATGAGTGAATAAGGAGTATTGGTAGTCAAAAGGTTATTTTTGTCATTACATTAAAAATATGCTGTGGGTCTCTTGAAATGTATTTCAGGATTTTGTAGATTCTCATAAGTTTATTACTGTGTATCGTTTTCTACCCTAGGAAGTAGCATTTATTGTAAGTACATTTGTAGGGATTCTGAGGGCAGACACAAATACTGAGGAAATTGAATAAAAATGCAGTATGCTTAAATGTTCATCAGAAGCTTTATTTTCCATTTTGCTCTGTATGATTAGTTGCAGGCCTCTCTGCAGCAAGTGGGTGTTGGCTTCATAATTCCAGGATAACTACATAATTGGTGTGTCCCTGTGTGAACCTATGGGTTCTGGGACATATAATGAGTTCAGCTTTTTCCACTGAAATGCCAAGAATGTGTTTAAATACTTCTGAGTTTTGGGCATACATCACTACCAAGACTATCCTTTATTTTAGATTTAAAAATACAGTAGGTCCGATATACTCAGTCATGCATACTGGACTTCTGAGTGTACTTTAATTCAAAGGGGAACCTTTTTTTCTTTTTGAAGCAAGACAGGTCTTTACATAGTAGTTATGAATAACTGGCCTCAGAATTCAGAATCCTAAGTGGCGATCTGCTTCTGTAGTCTCACTGAGGTAAAACGTGCAAAGGACTGCTTTATATGGGTGTAATCAGATTCTGATAGAGGGTTCCTGAAGGGGATACTTGGATAAATTATTAGAATTACATTTTTTTCTCTTATGTCATTTGCCAGTATTTTGACAGATGGAAACCCTGGAAGGCATGGCATTGAGGCAGAGACTGAGATACTGATTAACTCATAAAAGGAGTATTTCCCTGTTGCATCATTCACATGCTTATTCCTAGTTTTATCTAACTGGTAATTTATGTAAAGAAAATGTTTGTTGTTAAAGAGGGTCCATTAAAACTAATTCTTTTTAAATAAGTCTTAGGACTAAAAAAAGGGCTTTGGTCACATTTCAGAATGTTAGAATTTTTTGAAATTGTCTTAAATTGGGGGAAAAAACATTTTTTCCTCTCAAGGTGAACTTTTTTGGCTTTGAACATACTCTCTAATCTAAAGCCTTTTTCTGAATCTGACAACCTAAGAAGCATTTTAGCCTGTCCTTTTGATGGGAAATGATTAGATTTTCCAGTTCCTGTTATTAAAGGATTTTTCAGTTTATTAGTAACATATCATATTACTTTTTCATTCATAACTAATGTCCCGTCCTGAATATTTTGTAGTTCCTTTTTAAATAGATTCAGACAGCTTGATAAGGAACAATGGGTTATTTTGATGTACAGAACACTTGAAGTATGTCTTAAAGACTGAACTGCCATTATAATTGGACACACTAATTATGTGGCCATACTGGATTTCTCTTTGCTTAAAAAAATAGAAATTTATTCTCTTCCACTTCTGGAGGCTTGCAGACTGAAGTCATGGTGTCCGCAGGGCCATGTGCCCTCTAATGGCTCTAGGGAAGAATTATTCTTTGCCTCTTCCAGCATCTGGGCAATCTTTGGCATTCCTTGGTTTGCAGAAGCATCACTCCAATCTCTGCCTCTGTCTTCACAAGGCAATCTCCCCTGTGTGTCTGAGTATCTCCATGTGACTTTTTTTGGCTTCTCTTTTCTTTATCGGAAGCTTTATAGATGTCATGTCACATGGCTTTATTTTTTGAATTTTATTTATTTATTTTTTGCCATTTTTATTTAATTATTTTTCAACTACAGTATTCTGTCTTTTGTGAACATATGGATGCATAATGTGTTTTCAATATAGTGTTTTGGGTTTCTTCAGAGAAATGCCCAGAAGTGGAATTGCTGGGTCTTCCATTGTCTCTTGTTATAGCTTTTATTTTAAAGTCTATTTTGTCTGGTATAAGTATTATTGCTGCCCCAGCTTTTTTTTTTTCATTTTCATGAATATCTTTTCCTATACCTTCACTTTCAGTCTTTGTCTTTTGATATGAAGTGAGTCTCCTATAGACCGAGTATGTCAGAGTCCTGTTTTCTTATCCATTCAGCTACTGTTTGTCTTTTGATTGGAGCATTTAACCCATTTGCCTTTCAAGTACTTCTTGACTGATATGTATTTGTTGTCATTTTATTATTCATATATTTTTTAAATCCTCACCTGAGAATAGGTTTATTGATTTTAGTAAGAGAGGAATGGTGAGAAAGAGGGGCGAGTTAGGGAGGAAGGGAAGGAAGGAGAGAGAGAAAAATATATTTATGTGAGAGAAACACCAATTGGTTGCCTCCTGTATGCACCCCGACCAGGGACCAACCCCACAACCTTTTGGTGTACAGGATGATGCTTCAACAAACTGAACCACCTGGCTAGGGCTTATTATTCGTATTTTTATTCTTTTTTTCTTGTTTTCAAAGGTGATCCTTTCACATTTATTGTAATACCAGTTTGGTGCTGATAAATTCCTTTAGCTTTTGCTTGCCTGGGAAGTTTTTTATCCTTCCATTCTAAATGATAGCTTTGCTAGGTAGAGCAGTCTTGGTTGTAGGTCCCTGCTTTTCATCACTTTGAATACTTCTTGCCAGTTCCTTCTAGTCTGCAAAGTTTCTGTTGAGAAATCAGCTGACAGTCTTATGGGAACTCCCTGGTTGGTAACTAACTGCGTCTCTCTTGCTGCTTTTTAGTTTTTCACTTTGTCTTTTAACCTGTGGCATTTCAATTATGATGTGTCTTGGTGTAAGCCTCTTTGGATCCATCTTGTTTGGGACTCTGTGCTTACCTGATTTGTATATTTATATCCTTCACCAGGTTAGGGAAATTTTTCATTATTATTTTTTCCAAATAAGTTTTCTCTCTCTTCACCTTTTGGCACCCCCATGATACAAACATTGGTGTTCTTGAAGCTTTCCTGGAAGTTCCTTAAACTATCCTCAGTTTTTAGGTTATTTTTTCTTTTTGATGTTGTGCTGGGATGTTTTCTGCTTCCTTACTTTCCAAATTGCTGATTTTATCCTCTGCTTCATCTTCTCTGCTGTTGATTCCCTGTAATGTATTCTTCATTTCACTTATTGTATTCAAAGATCCTCTACTCTTCCCTTAAGTTCACTGAGCATCCTTATAACCAGTGTTTTGAACTCTGCATCTGGTAGATTGCTTGTCTCCATTTTATTTAGTTCTTTTTCTTGAGTTTTGTTCTGTTCTTTTATTCAGGATGTGTTTCTTTGTCTCCTTGGGTTAATTGTCTCCATGTGCTTATTTCTATGTATTAGGTAGAGCTTCTATTTCTCTCAGTCTCGGTTGAGTGGCCATGTGTATAGTAGGTGGCCATATGTATCTGTAGGGCCAGGTGGCACAGCCTCCTTAGTCACCCAAACTGGGCATTCCAGGTGCATTCCTCTATGTGGGCTACGTGCATACTCCTCTTGTAGTTGAGCCTTGATTGCCATTGGCATGTCAATAAGAGGGATCTACCCCGCCCCCTGATCAATCAGTTGCAAGGACTTGCCCTGACTGCAAATGCTGTGTAGGTGCTGACCCCAGGGAGCAGAATCCTTCAGTAAGACTCTGGTGTCCACTGAGTTTGTCCCTTGAATGTGTTGCTCATGGGGGTGGTTTGGTGGTTCTCTGGCACAGTCTGAAGTTGTCTACCAGATGTGCTGGCTCTGGCATCTCCCAGGTGGTGCAGGCCAAGATCAGCCACTACCTGTGCCCTGCCTGGAGCATCCTGGTATGACCTACAGAGTGATATGCAGAAGGCTGCCACTAGTGCTGGCTTGGGGCTGCTTAGCGAGAGGTATGGGTAACACTGAGGCCAGATGCTGTTGTTTGGGGTTTTTGACCTTTGAGAGATGTTCAGAAAGTCTGCAGCATAAGCCAATACAGGCTGTTCATATGGCATAGTCACTGGAAATGGCTTGCGAGAGCCTGCAGGTTGAGTGGGGTGAGGTGTCAGGGAATCATCAGGGCCGTGTGAACAGTGTGAACCAGCTTAATGGAGATGCAGGTAGCATGCCTGCATCTATGGGATGGCTCTATGGGAGGAGGAATAAGCAAAGGAATCCCCACTGGTTTTCACAGCCAGAAGATGTGGGGAGTTCTCTTCCTGGCACTGGAACCCTGGTCATGGGGGCCTGGAGTGGGGCTGGGATGCCTCCCTCCTCTAGGAGGACCTCAGCAGCCAAGATATTCCTCCCAATTTTTAACTGCCATAGGTGGCTGTGGGGCTAGCCTGTTCATGACTCTGCCCCACCCACCAGTTTCAGTGTGGCTTCTTTTGTACATCTTTAGTTATGAGACTTCTGTTCAGCTAGATTTCAGGTGATTCTGAATGATGGATGTTCTGTAGTTAAATTTTAATTTTGATATGGATGTAGAAGGATGCGAGTACTGCATTTACCTTTGCCACCATCTTTACCAGAAGCCCAGTATGATCTCTATAGATATATATTTTTAAAGACTTTATTTATTTTTAGAGTGCAAGGAAGGGAAGGAGAAAGAGAGGGCAAGAAACATTGATGTGTGAGAGAAACATTGATTGGTAGCCTCTTGAATGCGTCCCCAACCAGGGACCTGGCCTGCAACCCTGGCATGTACCCTGACCAGTAATTGAACCAGCTACTTCCAGTTTGCAAGACAACATCCAGCCCACTAAGCCACACCAGTCAGGACTCTACAGATATTTTAATGTTAAGGAAATCATAAATCTGACATATATTTTTTTATTGCAGGTCAACTATCTTCTTGTTCTCTGTTACAACTTTGGAGTAGAATCCCACCTGGTGCATAAATATGATGAAAGTTGTTTCTGGCTCAGGTAATATAACCAAAAATAATGTAACTTTAAGAATATTATCATAAAGTTTAGTTAATACTTACTATATGGTACTTTGGCAGTTTAAACATTTTCTGACTTCAAAAGCCAGCATGCTAAATTTATTTACACCTTTGACATGTATTGTTTATTTTTATTACAAGTTGCCAGTGACAGAAAAATGTATTATACTCATAATATAACATAAGAGTATGTTCTCTTTCCATTCTTTGTATCTTCATGAAGAATATAGAATTCTTTTTTTTTTTTGCTTTGGGAGATATTACAGTCTGCTAATCCCACAATACAAGGGTGGGAGGGGTGAGCAAGGGTGGAATAAACTAAAATTATTAGTTTTAAATGAATTTTGGTATTTTACTATCAGTCAAGTAAGTATATATTTAGCACGTACTGTATGCTCAGTACTGTGCTAAAATTTGTACTGTTTTGTTGACTACAGAAATATCAAGGGAATAGTGCAAAAATGTGTCAGCTCTATACACAAATTCTGCCTTTTACTGAATACCTGGGCACAGCACAGGTTCTGACACACAGTAGATGCTCATTTATTTCTATTTCTATAATTTTATGTGAAATGTATTCTTCTGGAGATGCTACATAAGGTGCTATGAATATTAGGGGATCACAGAATAAAATACATCAAATGAATTCACCAAATATTTTCTCTTTCTTAGTACAGAGTTATTTCTGGTTGCTTGGATACCTCCATGATTAGTTTAACTATTGTGAAATTTGTATTTGCCATTAATGAAATAAACATAAAGATGGTCATTTAGATTATGCTACTTGCAGGCAAATATATCTCTAAGAAACTATTTATGAAAATAACTTGTTTATGTAAAGGACTTTAGAGCTCAAAGATTGATCAAACTCTAAAGAACTATGCTTCCACTTTATTGTACCTCCGAAATTGGTATGGATGGTATTGAATGTAGATCGTGGTTGACAGAACAGGTTTATGCAGTTATAAGGACTATACTTGTCTTAATTTAGAATGCTTCGTGCAAGTGCAATATACCTGAAATTTTTATTAATCACATTTTTATAAGTTGAATTACTTAAAATATACCAAAGGAGCTAAGTAGTTTAACATAGCTTTTACAGCAGGTTTCCTTTAAAGAAACATCTTTGTCGTTGTTGTTGTTATTGTTGTTGTTGTTATTCTATTACAGTTGTCCCAGTTTTTCCCCCTTTGCCCTCCTTGGCCCAGCCCACCCCCTGCCCCCACAGTCAATCCCCACCCTATTGTCCATGTCCATGGGTCACTCATACATGTTCTTCAACTAGTCCCTTCCCCTCTTTCCACCCTTATCCACCTCTCCCCTCTGGTCACTGTCAGTCTCCTTTTTAAAAAGTAAATAACCAGTGAGTCCTATTTGGCAGGCTTTGGAAGGATTTAAGGGTAGTGCACTTACAAAGTTTATGGCACACACTTATCAAAACACTAGTATGCTAAGAATACAGGAATGGGAAGGATAAAAGCAACCTGTTGGTGCCATAGATGGATTAAGACAATGGAGATGAACTCGAAGTTTATGCTAAGAATGAGGGAAACTGTTCCTTGGGAACTGGTCATAAGAGTAGGCTGGGCTTGAGATGGCATGACATAATACTTTATTTTCACCTATACCATGGATTATTGACTCCTTATTTTTTATTGTTGTGCAGTTACAATTGTACTGCCTTTTTCCCTGTTGCTCTCCCCTGCCCCATCCCCCACTCCTCACCTGTCATTATTTTTTAGAAGACCTTACAGAAAAAAATGACAATGACAGGATATGACTGACATCAATATCATAAGTTAATTATATCAAATTTTTACTATATATTAGAGGGTGTATTTTTAAAAATATAATTTAACCTGCAGTCATATTTTCATCAAAATCTTTGTAGAGCACTACTATATTTTGAGTCTCTTGTGTTCTTTCTTTTCCTTTTAATTTGATTTTGTATTGGTTCCAGGTGTATAGCTTAATCGTTAGACAATCATACTTTACATAGTGTTCCCCTCAATATTTCCAGTGCGTAACTTGTACCATAATACATAGTTCTCACAGTATTGCTGATTATATTCCCTGTGCTGTACTTTATGTCCCTGGGACTGTTTTGTAACTACCAATCTGTAGTTCTTAATTTTTTCACCTCTTTCACATGGAGCCCCAAACCCCTTCCCTTCAGGGAACTGCCAGTCCCCTCTCTGTGTGAGTATTTTGTGTTCTTGTCACTAGAATGGGCTTGGGGAACACAGGCAGCACTTGAATTCTAGCCCTAGTTATTATATACAATTATAATTTCTTTGCCTGATTATTTTTTCCATATTTTTTGAGATATAAAAATAACGGAGAGTTATTTTCAAATACTTTGAAACAATTATATTTTATGTGTTTTAGAAAGTTAAAATAATTATCAATATAATTTTTACAAGTGTATTTTATTGATTGTGCTATTAGAATTGTCCCATTTTTTCTTCTTTTTATTCCCCTCTGCCCTGTACCCCTCCTCCCACCAGCATTCCTCCCCCTTAGTTCATGTCCACGGGTTGTACATATAAGTTGTTTGGCTTCTCCATTTCCTATACTATTCTTAACCTCTCCCTGTCTATTCTGTACATACCATTTATGCTTCTTATTCCCTGTACCTTTTCCCCCATTCTCCCCGTCCCCCGATAACCCTCCATGTGATCTCCATTTCTGTGATTCTCTTTCTGTTCTAGTTGTTTGCTTAGTTTGTTTTTGTTTTTCAGATTCAGTTGTTGACAATTGTGAATTTGTTGTCATTTTACTGTTCATATTTTTGGTCATCTTTTTCTTAGATAAGTCCCTTTAACATTTCATATAATAAGGGCTTAATGGTGATGAATTCCTTTAACTTGACCTTATCTGGAAAGCACTTTATCTGATCTTTCATTCTAAATGATAACTTTGCTGGAGAGAGTCATCTTGGATGTAGGTCTTCACCTTTCATGACTTGGAATACTTTTATCCAGCCCCTTCTTGCCTACAAAGTTTCTTTTGAGAAATCAGCTGATAGTCTGATGGGAACTCCTTTGTAGGTAACTGTCTTCTTTCCTTTTGCTGCTTTTAAGATTCTCTTCTTATCTTTCATTTTGTGTAATGTAATTAAGATGTATTTTGGTGTGTGCTCCCTTGGGTCCACCTTCTTTGGGACTCTCTGAACTTCTTGGAAGTCTATTTCCTTCATCAAATTGGGGAAGTTCTCCTTCATTATGTTTTCTTTTTTAATATATTTTATTAATTATGCCATTACAGTTGTTCTATTCCCCCCTTCATTCCCCTCCACCCTGCACACCCCCTCCCCCACCATTCCCCCCCTTTAGTTTATGACCACATGTCTCAAGTTCTTTAGATTCTAGATTTCCCCTACTATTCTTGCCCTCCCCCTATCTATTTTCTACCTACCATCTGTGCTACTTATATTCTGTACCTCCCCCCTTCTCCTTCTCCCACTCCTCCGTTGCTAACCCTCCATGTGATCTTCATTTCTATGGTTCTGCTCCTGATCTAGCTGTCCTCTTAGTTTGCTTTCGTTTTAGGTGTGGTTGTTAGGTTATATACAATTTGGAAGTACCCATTCAGTCTAAGAGGAAAAACCCTGTTTTTACACTAGTGGTAAGATATGAAAATTGCTGTTGTAGTGTGCAATTTGGTTGAAATAAAAGCCTAGCATAAAGGGTGACAGTGAGTATTGTTTAAAAAGCTCTTTTCTTCCCCACAGTGTTTGTTAACAAATCTGTTTGGGACTTTTCTCAGTTTCTGTCTCTTCTCTGCCTAAGAAAAGTTCGCTGCTCTCCTTGCTTTGGGCCACACTCTTTTGACCATGTCCCCTTATTAGAGATGTCACAGATTAAGAGAAGGCCCCTGTACTTGTGAATGAAAGTGGGAGTCCTTCAGCTCACTTTACTGTGGGTGTCCAGGTACCTACTTTGATGTATTTAGTGACAAATTGAGTTAGGATGTATAAATATAGAATTTCAGATCTTTGAAGTCAGAATGCCAGCTTTGGAAATATGTTTTAGAGCGTTTTTGTTTAATATAATGTATCTTTTCTACTATTCTTCTCTTTTGTGATTCTTGCTATAGTGAGCACCTCTGTTTGCTCTTGGCAGAAGGCAGGAAGAAGTAAATGGGAAAAGACTTGATATAGAACTTTCTTCCACAGTCTAGGAGAGTTATTAGGGATCTCTCAGTTGCCCTGGTAGAATTTAAATTTGGTGCTTATCTTTTAAAGTCTTATCTAATAATTTGAACATATATTATGTTGAACTTGGCTTTTTATAGACGGTGTACAGAAATGACACTGTAACTAATTAGTATTCTACAAGAAGCACTATAAACCAAACAAATACCAATTAGTCAAACTCTAGTATCTTTGGAATTACATTGATTTACTGCAAAGATTTTACACATTTTTTTCCCTGGGAAGGAAGTGCTCCAATCCCAAACCTTAGTTATATTCTTAATCATTGATGACTTTTTAAAAGTTTCTAGTAGTTTGTTGTAATTCACTCACCTGGAGCTACTGGCTGGTAAACAATTGGAAGGCGTACTTTTTTCCTTTTGCTTTAAGAAGATCTATTTTCTAATGATGGCAAACTAAATTTAGGGGAGAACATTCAAAATGAAAAGACAATACCCATGGACATAGTAAAAATACTGTTTAAAACTTGTTTACTAATTAAGGAAATTATATATGCTATTTAAAAAATTTAAATATCACAAAAGTACATAATATGAAAAGAGAAAGTTCTCTGTAACCCTACACTCATAAATGCTCAGTATTAAGTTTGCTTTATGTTTTTATTTTTCTTCAAAAAACCATTTTAAAAAGCTCTTTCAATATATTTAAGTGACAAGGAAAACATGAGGATCATCACATTGTATTTGGAGGATGTAAGGAGTGAGGGCTTTCTAGAATGGACTGTAAATAAAGAAGATTCATGGAACAAAGCCAAGCCAAAGAGT